TAAATTTCTCTAACACTTCTAATTTTCTTTTAATCAAAGCCAAATCTGGAGGAATCATCTATACAAGTTACAAAATATTCCATACCCCTATGTGTTTTTACATTCAAAGGGCCACAAACATCAGAGTGTATTATAGCCAATAATTCCTCTGATTTCTTTCCTTTCTTAAAAGGAAGCTTAGTCATTTTCCCACTAAGGCATGGTTCACAATAATTGAAATTCATTTCTATTTTGGGAATTAAGCCATTGGAGCTCATTCTCATCATTTTATCTTTGTTTATGTGACAAAGTCTCATGTGCCATATGTACGCATTTTCATTCACATGATAAGYACAATYATAACTAGARAGAGCATYAACTTTATTAATAGTCAAATGATACAATCCATCAGACTTATTCCCAAACATTAAAACTCTACCATGCTTTCCTATGGTTACTTTTCCTCCCCTAAAACGTACATCAAAACCCTTCTCATCTAACAGAGGTACAAACAATAAATTTCTCCCAAAATTAGGTGCATACAATACATCATTAAGGATTAAATTTGTGTTCTCATTTATGGGGATCTTCACTTTTCCGGTTCCAAATACATCAGTGTAGGTGTTGTTTCCCATAAAAATTCTGTGTTCTCTTGTCTTCATTTCCTTCAGTTCCAGGAACATTTCTTTAGTTTTGCAAATATGCTTAGAGGAGCCAGAATCTATGCACCAATCAGAAAAATCAGAATCAACAAAGTAGGATTCAGAGACTGCACAGACTATGTCTTTCTTTTCAGTTTTTCCCTTTTCATTGTTTGATTTATTCTTCTTGCATTCGGGGCAATTATATTTTGTATAGCCTTGTTTTTCACAATTAAAGCAATGTTTACCCTTAGTCTTCTTGAATCCTTTTGAGAATTTAAATTTCTTATTAAATTTCCTCCCATTATTATTTTTGAAAAACTTGCCCTTAGGCTTTTAAGCCATTTGGGAAGTTTCAGTTGGTTTGGGAGTAACCATTAAGGATGAAGGTTGGGATTTCTTCCTCTTCCTTTCAGCCTCTAATCCTAACAAGGTAGGTAAGTTTTTTATGCTAACTTCTCTTCCGGATAGATTTAAAGTTGTTACTACAGAATTCCAAGAAGATGGGAAGCTATTAAAAATGGTGGAGACTTGAATTTTCTCAGGAATAGGGTTCCCAGTGGTTGCCAACTCTTTGGTAATCACATTCATTTTACTAACACGATCTACTATAGAATCCTCTTCTCTCATTTCACAGCCATAATATTTTTCAATTAACAATTGAACATAGGTTTCAATTATTTTTCCATATGTTTCTTTAATGGCTTCAAACATATCTTTAGCATTATTATATTCTTTAAATACAACCTCTATGTCAGGCTCCATAAAAGTTAACAAACAATTTCTTGCCTTTCTATTATCTTTTTCCCATTTTTGAAATTCACGAATTACAATCAAGGAATCATCATCAGCAGGTTTAGCAAGAATAGATTTATCTAAAACATAATCAACATTTTCTTCATCAAGTATCCTTCTAATCCTACGTTTCCAGAGAGCATAATTGGTGCCATTCAGTTTCTCAATTTTACTGAGTTCTTGGGATAAGGCAGTAGAAGACATTGTTCAAAATAGCAAGAATATTCGAAAATAAATAAAGCAAATACAGGTATCAACTGGCTGTATTTTATGAGACTGTCACTCAAGTTCGAAGGCCAAAAATAAATAAATAAAGTACTTAGCTGTTTACGCAAAAATACTAATCGGCAGCTAAGTTATCCAACAGGTTTAATTTGTCCAGCTCCCACTGCTCCTTTTAATTCAGCAGCAGCTTTGGCATTCGGCAATGATACTTCTAAGTGGTTTGGAGCCTAAAAAAATGATAGTAGATAATTAATAAGATGTAGAAATCAACGATTGCAAAACCGAACAAAAATTGAAATGGGAGAAATAAGCAAATAAATAAAACTCTAATACCCGATTTGAGATGCTTGGGTTCGGCTCACTGGTCGAATCCACCTTATCTAACCAGATTTGTTTTGTAGTGAACGAAAACAGTAAAAGCCCTGAATTTATTTAGGGTTTCTTGCTTCAGACTTCAGATCTGAGATAAAATTTTGCAGTTCTTCGAGCAGCAAATTCATATATCTTTCTGAGAAAACTCGAATAGGCGTCTCTTTCGAACACAAAAAAAATAAGGAAACTGGAACCAGGTTTGGAGTCGCTAGAGTTTCTATTCGTTTCGAGTCGCCGAAGCAAGAATAATAATAATGAGCAGCTGTTGGAGCTTGTTTGTATCTCGACGAAGAAGAAAGAAGACCTGAAACAGGGTTTCGGTGGAGGATGATGAGAAAACTTCGATCTAGTTCTTCTTCTTCACAGTGAATAACTACAGTTGGAGGCTCGAACAGATGCGCAGATGGGAGAGCTGACGAAACCCTCGAACAGTGCTTCGGTGGAGAAAGGAGGAAACTCTCGAACTAGTTGTATTCTCTCTCCTCTCCCTTTTTTGAAGCTTAAAAGATGGGGTGCTATCCGGTGTGGCGTGGCTACACTCAGAAAACTGTGCCAGTCAATGTTTGGCTCTAATACCGGTGAAGGACCGAGTAGATGCAGAGGTGAACAACTGAGATCTTGGTGTATCAAACCTGCATACAAAGAGAGAATAAGAGTAGCTGCACAATACAGGATTCAAGACACCTATCTCTCAAACAAAATGCAAGAGAGAACTGTCAAATCTGGATGGAGCCGATATTTGGAGGTTGCTTGACCTTCCAAGTTATCTTTGATTTTGCACACTCTGCTATCTTTGTGATAGCCATATATATAGGTCTTTCCCCAACGTTCCCTTCCTTGTTTTGAGGAGGGAGCGTAACCGACTTGAACGTTTGGAGGGAAGACCAAGTCAAGGCCTCTCTAGATTGAGACAAATGTCTCATACTAACCAAGGATCTATCCACATGGTCATCCAGTCTAGACTGGGTCAAATGGATATTCATTGACCCAATAAGAGCTGGAATTTGGATCCAGAATAATCCAGCAATATTGGTATCTCCATGCATAAAAACATTTTCAAATAAACAATCAAATAAATTTATTTTTTTATAGAAAATAAATAAATAAGTAATAATTTAAAATGAATGATTGTGTGAGAGTGTTGCATGGAGATAACCATAAAATCATCTTCCATCAACATGTGGCTTGTCACATGGCCATTGGATATTCCAACATGTTGAGGATTAAACGAGGGCCTATGACCACTCTACCATCAGGACGATCATATAAAATCCTCCAGGCTGGTGGCTTGGTTAGTAATATTGCCATTTTTTCTTAAGAGATGAATTCTGATCTTATGGGAAAGCAGGATTCATGGTGGGACGATCATATAAAATTCCTTTGATGGTGGGTTTGGATTGCTTTGGATATACACCAAGCTACCAAATGCTCAAAGCACACTTGTATTATGCAGGCCCAGATAGATGCACATATATTTATACACTCATAAGTCATAAGTATATATGCATATGTATTTGTATTTGTGAAGGTTTTCTTCATAGACATGGCCTTTGCTACTTAAGGAGATTGTGGTTGCTCAGGTAATGCAAATAAAAATTGGCAATATAAACAGGAGCATATACCTAAGTCACTATTGAGTAGGTGCTAACCTAAGTTTCTGTATCAGGGATCGAGATATGACAATTTTCCCTTTGGAAAATGGGCTAGAGCAGATCTAAAAATTAGAGATGATGTGAGACTACATTCTTGGAAATTAAACTTATCCCAAGTAACAAGGCAATGCAAGGCAAAGAAGACTGCGGGCAATAAGAAACAATTTCTTTACTATAAGCAAGTCATCTGCATTCCTCACAGGGGCTTCATGGTTCTGAAAGTTTGAGTACTGTAATTATTTGTCATTGTTACTAGATGTGCAACTTGGATTAGGTCAGGTTGGGAATTTGTTAAATTTTCAATGGGTTCTAGCCCACGTAGTTGAAATTCTTCAGATCGAAAACCTGACTTGCACCCCTAAATTGTTTTTTTTATTATTTTTAATTTGTTCATTTTTATTTCTCTCTCCAAAACTTGATAAGTTGAAGCAGGCTATTGATGCAACAGGATTGGGCTGTATCTGCTTGCTGACAGGTTTAGGCCTAAAAAGGCCTCCATATCATATAGGCTTAATGCAAGAGGATTTTACATTGATCCCACAAATCAGGCCCATCCTATCTGGGCATTTTGAAGAAAGAGATGACTGCAACAGTTAGCATGAGAATCATTTCTAAGCTATCTTGGCAAAGCCTTATCCCAACTATTTGGAGCCAACAGTATGGGAACCATTAGATACTCAATGCATACACCTATTTATATATACATTTATGTAGATACCTTCATAATACATATATATCTTTTTAGAGTTCCATGTGATTTTTTGTTGCATTAATCAAGGTTTATTTGCCTTAAAGGATTGACTTTTATAATTAAAAACTAGACATTGTACTCTCTTTCTTTCAGAATGATAAATTTGTTTTCCCTTTCAACTTTATCACTTTTCTTTTTGGTTGATGAAATTCTAATCTGTGGGTTGGAGATTAACTAGTGAGGCTCTCCTTGTTATCCACCTTTTCCCCTTTCTTTTTCCCTCTCTTCTTTCTCTTTCTTCCTTTCTTGTTTCCATTTTGTGAAGCCACCATTTAAGCAACCATGTTATTGGGATGATCTCCCCCTTCCTGTTTAGATTGTCATGCATTACATCCTGATTTTTCTTCCATAAAATCTCTCACATTTCATTATTCACAGTGATTTTGTATCTTGAAATATGGAGTGACTTTACTCCATGCACATTTGGGCATTTTGTTGTGAGTAACCTCTTTGTATCTTCATCAGCTCAACTTTGGTCATCGTAGGTTGGAAGCAACTTGGTAACTTTGCTAGATACAAGAGATTAATTAGAAGTAAAGCATTTACAAAGACTTGCTTTTCAGTATTGCTTCTTTCTATATTTAGGCTATACACCCTGGCTATGGTTTTCTATCCGAGAGTGCTGAGTTTGCTCAGCTTTGTGAAACTGAGGGGCTTACATTTATTGGACCTCCAGCATCTGCAATTCGGGACATGGGTGATAAAAGGTATAAATAATGTTCTTCTTCCTCTGTATGTATGTGTTTTGATACATATACTTTTCACATAAACACATTATAGACATGCACTTAGTTAGTTAGTTGGCTTGCTATGTGCCTATTGCTCGTTAATGCATGTTATATGCCCCTTTACTTGATTATTCTTATCATTCTTCTCTTCTCCTTATGCACATATATATCAACCATATCTTTTATCAGTAAATTTAAACTTATTTCTTCCCTAATTTATATAGATATTTGTTATTGCCTTTTGATTTCCTTTTATTCTTTTTTCTTGCATATTTTCCTTCTTTGGTGTTTACTAGTGCATCAAAGAGGATAATGGGTGCAGCTGGGGTACCACTTGTGCCTGGATATCATGGAGATGAACAAGATATTGATTTTATGAAGTTAGAAGCAGACAAGATAGGATATCCTATCTTGATTAAGCCAACCCATGGAGGTGGAGGAAAGGTGTGCTTATCCTTGGTCTTTCATCAACATGAATTCATTAATGTTTCTTATATCTTCACTGTTATAATATGGAAACTTTTTGGAGGCTTCATTCCATGGACGCACCCTTATAAAAAGTTCAAAAACTATTTATACTGAAATCACCTCTTCCCTTTATTTATGTCTAGGGATATAAACAGGTCAGGTTCAGTTTGGGTTTGCCTTAACCTAAACTTGACATCAAGAAATCTGTTACCAAGTCCAACCTGACTTAATGGCCCAACTTAATGACATAGGATGATGAAACATGCCCTGACCCTATAAAGTCCCAACTTATACCACCCTGCCCTGCCCAGCTGCCCCATGAACACTAACCCTGTTCTTAGTGAAGACTAAAGGCTATATTGATAACTAAGTTACATACAACATTCATAACCTAGTTACATACTGTAACATCACTAAAGTATCTCCATGTACTTTAGTCATAGTTGTCAAGGCGACCGCCTAGGCAACAAGGCACCCTTTGAGGCTCGCCTCACCTAATCGCCTAGTAGTTTTGTACTATGTATTGTAAAATACTTTTTTATTCTTTATTTTTTGACATTATAATTATAAAATAGGCACTGTTAAACTAAAATACTCATTTTGTGTGTTTATATAGTAATTTGTTTTTATTATTTTCTTATTTGTTAGGATTTAATCAATACAAACATTGCTAAATGTTGTATTGAACCCTTAGAGACTTTAAAACCTGAACCAATAAGTATGGAAGAACATAAAATTTTGTCTAATCAACACATTGCTAAATGTTGTATGGAAGAACCAATAAGCAATACAAACATTGCTAAATGTTTGTTGATTTTCTACTACTACTACTACTACTACTACTACTACTATCTTTTTTTAATTTTCTTTTCCTTCCTTTTTTTTCCTTCTCATGAATATGTTGATTTTCTATACTTTAACATGAACTCTATACTTTTCTTATGAAAATTATGAATAATTATTAAGGAAATATGGCTATGGTACCTAGGGAACTACCCTAGGATCTATATTTTCTATATAAAAAAAGACTACCGCCTAGGCGACAAGGCGCCCCCTTGATGCCCAGCCTCGCCTTGGTGCCTTGAAAACTATGACTTTAATGTATAAACCAGCAAAGTAAACACATAGAGCAAGATGTAAATGAAGGCAAAACTATGACTTAAGGATGTCAATGAGTCGGGTTTGGTATGTATTTGACTTAACCTGAACATAATGCAGGCTAGGGCTGTTAGGCTCACTGAAACTGAACCAGACCAAGGCTGTCCTGATCCCGGTCCTATAAGGTTGGATTGGTTAGGTTTACCATTTAACTTGAACCATTGACATTGCTACTCATGTTATATCCAAAATCCAATTTAAGCATCTCTGTCTCTAGTCAACACAACTAGCATTTTGTATTTGAATTGTACTGACCATTTGATAGATGATACTTGTTGTATTGTTGACATGGTATAAATAATTGTTCACAATTTTGACATTGATGGACATTTTAGCATGTAGAGATGGGGAATTTTTCTAAAAACAGGAATTAATTAATAAACCATTAAGGAATCATTAGAAGAATTATAAAAAAACATAGCAAACAATTGTGTAAATCAAATAAGAGAAGATTAAGAGATTTAAATAGGCATTTTTCTCTGTCTCCCTTTTAATCTTTTAGCCTTCTCTTCATCAAATATGTCATTTACTTGTCATTTTGACTTTTGTCTTTTTTGTTACTATATGTTTTGATTGGATTTAGAACCCTCTTTTGTAGTTCTGCACTTTTTTCCTTTTTATTTTGAATTATAATGATTTATTAATTGAATCATATCAAAATTGTAAGCAAATTATCCAATCACCGAATCCCTATTTGTTTTTTTAGGAAATTATAAAATGTATGATGATTTTAGTGAAATATATAAAAAAATTTAATAATATTCTAAAAATTTAAACCTCAAATATACAATCTATCAATGAAATCTGAAATATCACTGAAATATAGGAGATATTAGGAAAAAAGAAAAGATTCTTGGAAAATTTCCCATCACCACTTAGCAAAATGGGGGAATTTTGCCAAATCTCACCGATATTGTGAAAGCAGGGTATAATGAATGGTCCATGTGTATTATTTATGCTGCCTTCTAGTTTTCATAAGATCAGTAATGTACTAAGATGCAATGTGTATATGACTATTTTTACCACATTAGAATAACCATCTCTCTCTCTCTCATGGTAATGATAATCTGTCAAGGAGAGAAGGAAAATGGTATGAAAGAAACAAGGAAATATCAGATGAGGAAGGCTAAACAAGATGCAGAAACACAAATACATCATCATCATCCTAGACTTATCCCAACTATATGGGGTTGGCAACACGAGTCCTGTTTCACCATTCCATTCTGTTTAATCCCATATCTGTTGTTAAATTATGGACAAGTCTCGTCCAACCTCTAAACCCCCTCAAGAAACCCAGTACCGCCCTAAGCCAAAAGGATAATAGACCAGGTCCCATCTAGTACCAGCTGCCATGGAGCAGGATAGCAAGCTTCCCTGATGCCAACCCTACCATAGCCAAAAACAAAATCCTTAGCCCACATTCCACTAAACCATATTGGATGGTTCTTACTGGTTTGAGCTGAATGCTGAAAATGGTAATAATTATGGAGTTGAAAATATTTTTTAGCTAAGCTGGGGAGGGGAATTGTTGGAATTGGTTTTGTTGTATGGTGACAGCTGTATTCTGACATATTTTTCTGCTTTTTTTTTTGAATAATAAAAGAAAAAGGATTTAAAAAGCAAATACAAGAGGAAGGTGATAAGATATCACCTGAGAGGAGAGCTAAAAGAACTAAGCCACATCTTACAATTCAATGTCACCGTACAACAACCCCCCTCCCAAAAAAAAAAAAGAAAATAACCATCACAATGTGTTTTCTGCATTGCTACTAAAGTTCTGGATAGGAATAACAAGAAAAAAAAAATTGTCCTCTTGTAGTTCTATGGGAGCAAGACAGGTTACTCTTTGTTTCTTCCCTTTTGATTTCTGCAATGATGTTGCGATGTCTCCAATAAGGAGAATATGACCAATGTATCCATTTGTATGGTGAGATGTGCATCCTCATTTGGACAATTATGGATTTGGTCTTCATTGATTTAGATTGATTGTTCGTTTTCATCAACTTTTCTCACTTCTGTTTTATGCATATTTATAGTACTTGTATTGTATTTTTCTTTCATTGTTTTAGATTTTTTGTTCATTTTCTTCAACTTTTCTCACTTATTCTTTATTCATGTTTTCAGTATTTGTAATTTTGGTTCATTTGCAGATATAGATATTGGTTCAGATAAAATTCTCTCCAGTATTATTTACATGAATTTTTAATATTATCCCAGGGTATGAGGATTGTGCAAAGTCCAAATGAATTTGTTGAATCTTTTTTGGGAGCACAACGTGAGGCTGCTGCATCTTTTGGCATGAATACCATCTTACTAGAGAAATATATTACTCAACCAAGACATATAGAAGTTCAGGTAGTGTTCTTCAATATTGTTATACTTTTAAGTGGCTTTGCTGCAGTTAGTCCATAATATATGGTTATATCTGCCAAACCAGAGTATCCTTCTGTTTCCTTTTTATTTATTTTTTCTTTTTAAAGAATTTGCAATTTCATTAACTGTTTTTTTTTTTTCTGTTTAAACCTTTGACAAGCTTATATTGCTGTTTKCTGATAGAAAAAGTTTTGCTCTATTTCATGCACGTTGTAATTTATCAATTCTCTTTAAATCTGCCTGATGACATAGATATTTGGGGACAAACACGGTAATGTTCTACATCTCTATGAGAGAGATTGCAGCCTGCAGAGGAGGCACCAGAAAATTATTGAAGAAGCACCAGCAGTATTGTTTGATTTCCATATTGTTGTTTTAGTTTTTTTTTTTTTTGGTATCTTTAGCTTGTAACAAAATCTTCATTGATGCAGCCAAATGTTCTTAGTGATTTCCGCGCCCACCTAGGTGAAGCTGCTGTTTCTGCAGCAAAGGTGATAAACCTTGATATTGGTTTCCTGAACATGATGGATTTCAATTTATTTGGTGAACACACTTATTGATTCTAAAAAAAAAGTCGATATCTGTGGCTATGGTTTGTAAGGGTGGAAGAGAGATTCGTGGCTATTTGGGGGGGGGGGTGGAAGAGAGATTCGTGGCTATTTGGTAGATGATACAATACATGTTATGACAAAGATCAAATCAAACTTGTAAGGGTTTTAATAAAGTTCTGAGTAATGTTAGTAAACAATTATCCATGCAATCCTTTGAATTCTTTGGCCCACAAACACAGTGGGATCCATGGAAAGACATATTACAAAACATATTTGGTCATTTTCTTTTCATGGGTTTGACCTTGTTTGTAGGGTGATGAATTTAGGGAGTTGCATAAAGGCATTGTTTACTAGCACTGTTCTGAAGTTTCCAGAAGAACATTTGGTTTTTAAAGTAATGAAATAGGTGGATTTGGTCCTTTTGTTTATATGCGTGTTAGCATAAAAAATATCCTTCTTTTAATTTATTTATTAAAGAAACCTACTTACAATATATGTGCCTAAATATTTGTATCTAGTAGGCCTATGTGTTTCAGAATTTTAACTGAAAAGGAAAACCAAAAGCACAATTTATAATGAACTGCACTACCATAACATATAGTTAAATCATTAATATAACCGCAAGGAAAAATAAATTAAGTTTTAATTCAACTAGCTGTTCTTAGTGACCAATTGACCATTAATAATATTTCTTGAATTATTCTAGCCTGCCCAAGAAGAATTGCTAAAATCCAAAAATCATATTATCATTGTCATCATCTTCCAAGCCTTATATCCTGTTTCACCATTCTATTATGTTTAATGCTATATAAAAAAACCCCAAAACCATATCTATTACACCAATTTTGGTAACACATTAGCCTAATTTGTGGCAAAGATTATCTGCAAGTATCTTCTGAAGTTGGATGATCCCAGCAAGGTGATATGCATTCTTTAGTTGGCAATGGAATTTTATTTGATATTCATGACAATGGTTGGCAATCATTATTAAAATTCTTGGTTGGGTTTATCTTTTCCCTCCTTTCTCTTGTCATTACTCAAGCCATAATACTAGTGCCAAATTCTTTGGCACGTCAGATTAGACATAGAGTGGATTGGTTGAACTCATGAATATTGTTGCCTCAGAAATTAAAATCTACTTGCCACTGAATCCCATAAACCGTGCTTTTGAGCATAGATGTGCAACTTGGGCTGACTTGGGTTGAGGATTTGCTAAAATTTGAATGGGTCCAACCCGAGGCCTGAGCCTAGTGCTGTGTAAATTCTTTAAACCGGGTGTCCAACTTACACTCCTATTTGAGCATTAAGACACTCTTCCTTGAAGGGACTATTAAATCCCCATGTATACTGCCTTCTTGAGTGTATATATCTCTTACATGGTATATTAGCTGAAGCTTAAAGTTTCAGACTCCAGTTCTGTCCTATTAGGAATTTTTGTTCATTTTACAATGTGAGGATCTTGTTATCTAAGGTGGTGGTTCATGCATATGGTTTGGAAGTAGGTCTTAATTGGGATTATAGGGYTCAATTCCATCTGTAGTTGTGAGTTGGCAATGGAGGGTGACTGCAGAAAGTGATTGGTGAAGGATGTGTCTTCCCAGATGAAGGACCAATGAGGGAGAGCAGTGCCAGTTTCCCATGGGTTCAAAGATGCTGGAACAGACCTAGGTGTTATTTCAGGATGTTACAGCGAAGTGGGTCTTGGAGCCATGGAAACCAACTACAGGGTGAACATTAAGAAATTAATCTATTGACTATTGTATGTTTCCATTCATTCTAGCTTTCCCTAGAGACATTGAACAAATCTTAAAAGAGGCTTCATGGCAATTTGGCCAAACTCCTAGACTATTGGAGTGCTGGGGCTGGTTGTGCATCAAATGAGCTGACAAAAGTCAGAGTTTTTAATGATTTGGATTTGTGATTTGGTATGCCACTCATGCTATGGTGTTTGGACATGATTCAAGTGATGGGAGATTATTGTAGAGAGTTGGTATGCATATGTAACTCATAATCCAAGCTCTACTCTTGTGAGTGGTGTGCATGTAAAGGTGCAATGGAGAGGAGTGGTGCCGGAGATAATGTTGTTCTGATTTCTGAAGAATTTGTTGTATATTGTGCATTGGCATTGGGAACTACAAAACCCAAATCTCAGTGAATAGATAGTAAAAGTGACAAGCTGGTTAATGGTGATGATGAAAGCATCTTACGCAATACTAGGGAAGCATTAATATGAGCATCAATGAATGCTCATAGTAGAAAGGGGAAGGAAGTGGATGGGGAAGATCTTGGCTCTACTATCAAGGAGGTGGAAATAGAACGAGTCATACCAATGGTTTATTCTCCAGCTTCAAGTCTGTTACATGCTCGACTAGCTAAGGCAATGTCGAGCAATGTTGTAAGACTTATACTAGACACAGAACTGGAAACTTGCTCATCTCCAGGTCAAATGGTTTGACCATGAGTAATATAAATAATATAAAGAATAAATTTTGTGATTAATATCACATATCTAAGTGGCAGCCAGATGGCTGAAGTTCTGTTTTTTGATACAGCATACAACTGCCCAGGATTCAAGTCTTGCAACTTGCATTTTATTCATAATATATAGGTTCCACTGGCTTTTAACCAATTTGATTGGAAAACCAGGGTATTAAGAAAACCAGAATGGCCTCCCGTTCCTGGTCTGACTGGCTGGTCCAGTCCAAGTCTTGCAACACTGATGTCAAACAACCAAAACCACAAGGTGTTGGACATAACCATCAGTTCAAATCCCAAGATCAGCCAAATTTTCAAAATTGAAATGCTCAAAACATTTAGATGAATGCAGGGAAGGTGTCAAGGAGATTACTTGAGAAGTCCTTGCACAAGTATATGATTAGGGAAAAAATGGTATCCACAAAAGACAAGAATAAATTGAGGAATAGGTCTAGCAAATATTGCCATTACAACCAACCTGATTTTAAAGGTAAAAAGACATCAAATGGGCATCTAAACATCACCATATGTGCAAGGTAGAGACCTATGAACCTGGGCCCAACTATGATACAACCTGGTCTATCGCACTCTTAGACAACAAATGAACAAAAAGAAATAAAGAGAATTGGTAGTGCTGCAAATGGTATGTGAATGTCCAAATTCGAATTTGAATCCAATTCCATTGGGGGTGATTTAAATTCGATTAATTTATAATTAGATCAAATATGGATCCACTCCTATCCAATATGATATATTCCGGTTTGGTTCAATTTAATACATGCATACACACACACTTAGAAATTTTACATTATATTTATATTCTATAATTGTTGGTTTTGATGTTGTGTTTTTATTAAAATTTCATAGGTTCAAGTTTCACACAAGTAATTCTCAATTCATTTTGTTTATGAAATACAATATCAAATTCATTTTATTATAATATATAATATTTTGATGATTTTAAGTTTAATTTATTTATGCTTATCCTATATTCGATTACAATCCAATTTTGATATGAATCCAACATAAATCCAATGGATAAGATCTGATTCAAATTTGAATATAAGAAAATCAAATTTGGATCTACCTGTATCTGTTCAATTCAATCCGTTTGCAGCCCTAAGAATTGGTTGGAGAAGAAGATATTTGTTGGTAAGACACCAAATTCTGATCTTAACCTAGCTTCAATGGGAAGCTAGGGGGAGAAATTCACAATATGCTACTTAGGAGCAACAATTCTACAAAGTATCGCACCAGGATAGTCATATGTCAACAAGTCAAGGAAGGATTTATAGCAATCAGGTACCCCACACCCCTTCCTAGATGGATGGTGGATTTGGGGGAATGAATGCTACATAAAGAAGAATTAAACAAATAAGCCATCATTGAGAATAGGTAATTTGACTGTCAAGAATAGGGCCTTGTTGGGTAAATGTTTGTACAGATTTCTTTTGGAGTCTAATGGGCAGTGGCACAATGTGGTGTGTAACATTCGTGGGATGCAGATTTAAACCCTAGGGTTTCTTTTGGAAGGGCATTATTGGCCTTCTCTCTTCTTTCTTGTACTTTGTCTACTTAGATGCTTGCTTGGGCAATAAAATCAAATTCTGGTAAGACCTTTGGGTTACAAATTTTCCTCTTAAAGTCTTTTATTCTAGACATTTTGCCATTTCCTCCTACACTTCTAAACCAATTTAGGTCTTTGTATCCAATTCGTCTGGTGGTCTTTCTCGGGATCTTGGATTCAGAAGAGGCTTGAGGGATGATAAAATACTTGCTTTGATTGATTTGCTTAACACCCTCCATAAAGTCTTTTTGGACCCTGAACTTTCCTAATACATGTTTGTGGACTTCTGATCCATTGGGGTTGTTCTCTTGTTCTTCTTTTCTCAATTCTCTTTTCCTTTTCACTTCCTTGCCACAAAATTTCCCGGTGAAGGACATTTGGAGTGGAGCGATGTTGCATAAAATCACTACCTTTTCTACTAGGTAGTGGTCTATGGTTAAATTAACACATTTGATATCCTTAAAAGGATACCTTATTGGTGTCTTCACATATTTGTTTTCTTTGTCTTGCAAATGGGGAATCTATTCTATACTTCTAATCTCCTGTCCATTTGTGACCAGCATTGGGAATGGCTCTTTTCTCTCTATGGGTGCAGGTGAGTCCTATAGACATGGAAATGCCATCTCCATCTTTCTTTACTTTACCTAGAAAGAGAGGAAGAATCCTTTAGGGATCTAATAGAATGGCAATGCTTTGGAAAATTTGGCAAGGAAGAAATAACAGAATATTCAAGGGGAAGGCAAATAGTGTGGAGACCATGTTGGATAATATCAAGGTGAAAGTGGCACATTGGGCCAAAACAAGGAAAATTTTTACCTCTTTTTCAATTGATGATCTTTTAAATGTAGCATGGTCTTCTACAATTAAAAAGATTGTTCTAGTGCCCTGGCAGCCATTTTTCACTGTTGAAGACTACTACAATGRAAATCTGTGTTGGTGGATATGGAAGGAAAGACATGGTCAAATTTTTTAAGGAAAGAGTCTCTCCCCAATTCAGGTAATATGAAGAGTTGAATGAAAATGATTGGGTGCTCCCTAATATTGAAGGAAAGACATTGGGACAGAATGCTTTTTTTATTCTTCTTTTGATGTATAGCACAGTTTGTACATGGTTTAACCTCATAACTGTCTACAGTTCTTGTACTTTTTGGAAACTACCTACACCTACTCATTAATACAATATTTACTATTTATGAGAAAAATCTTATCCAGATACACTAATAGATTTTTCATTGATCAGTTGGTTGAGCTTTCTAATGGTCATTGCTTGGTGCAATGGTAAAAATTAAAATCTCAGGCTGACAAGCGTGAGAATGTACATTCGAGTCTAGAACTTCCATTTTGTGCAAAAAATGTCAAATATTAGGTTAATATCTAGTCCACCCCTCCTATGACCCTGGATAGGTGGGACAACATTGGGCAATGGCCCTTTTAACTACTTGAACTTTCTTTTTCTTTTTTTTTTATGGTAACGAGTTAGTTTAAATTTCAATGTTTTTTTACCTGTTTAGTTTATTAGCTTTTTATCTTTGGTTACTTGGTACGATTGCAAGTTTTTAGCTCGGATTAACTTATTTGGTTACTTCTGTTTGATATTCACCATCTGAGAAGGCAGTTGCATATCATAATGCTGGCACTGTGGAGTTCATAGTGGATAGAGTTTCAGGTCAATTTTATTTCATGGAGATGAACACCCGGCTTCAGGTGAATCACATTTTGTTCTTGTTATTGAAGTTTTAAGTTAATACATGGTTTTGACTGGAAGCATCTACAACTTTTTTGCAGGTTGAGCATCCTGTGACTGAGATGGTTGTTGGTCAAGATCTTGTGGAGTGGCAGATCCGTGTTGCAAATGGAGAACCTCTTCCGTTGAGTCAGTCACAGGTCGCTTTGAGAGGTAAACAATTTGTAAGATGAACTACCTCTTATAAATAAGTTTTAGCTGTTAGCTTATTACTAGGTCACCTTGTGCTTGCTTTAAAACCATAACTCACCTCGTTTTTAAGTACAATCAAAAAATGGTTATGATTATGTCATATTTGGAACTTCTTTTACTTCAAAGTCATATTTTTTCCCCTTTCCTTTAATACCTTTGGTTACAGATGTCTCTTAGTTGAGGAGGTTGTAGGATAAAGCTGAACAGACTTTTGATCAATAGCCAAAAAGAATAAGAAAAGAGGGAATGGCAGGTAAAGTCAATAAATCATCGAAGATGATCTATCCCATTTACTTGGGACGTGCTACAAAATTCCTTTTCCACAATTCTTTTTAGAATTTATGAGAAAAGACATACAAATTTGATCTTGACTATTGCTTTGTCTCAACCTCCCCTATTTGTGCCTGGGACTGGTAACCTAAACAAAGCCCAACTTTTAGCAGAGCTCAAAACAATAATTAAATAAACAAAAAGTATTACATCAGCATGGCCTTGATTAAGTTAGTTAAATACCCCTTGATTAGTTTTTTACTCTTTAAGAATGAGATGGTCAAAAAGAACTGAGGCCTAGATATCCTGTTCGATGCTGGGCATTTTTCTGTAATCGAGAAATCAACTTTCCCTGGATCGTTTTATGTTTGTAGATTGACGGGAAGAGGTCCTATATTTTTTTGAACCCTAGAAAATTTTTGGGAGATTTTTCTCACCTCTCGTTTTATGTTTGTAGATTGGCTTCCAACTGTGTTTTGACTTATCTCTTCGGGTCTGTTGTGTGTTGGTTTGTTGTTGGGGTTCTTCTATTGGCTGTCGAGAGGTATGAAGCAGTCCAAGGATGTGTCATTTACCTTTGATGTGCTTCTTGGAAATGTGGACAGTTCCAGTAGCATGATAACTATTATGAAATTGGATGGGACAAATTTTCTGGAGTGGTCCCAATTAGATAAGCTTACCATCACAGGAAGAGGTAAGTTGGAATTTATTACAGGCAAAGAAGTAAAACCGAAGCTTGAAGATTCAAAGTTTGCTAAATGGGAGCAAGACAACTCGTTGGTGATGTCATAGTTGGTTTGCGATAGAGTTGTTGCTACCTACTCCAGACTAAGAATATAGCTAGAATGTATCAGCTTTGGAGAGAAGCTTGTAGTGTGTGTTAGGGGGAAAGATCAGTGGCCATATATTTTTCTTCCCTTCAATCACTTTTGGAACAAATGGATCACTTGAAGGCTCTGGAACAGAAGGACCCTGAGGATGGTGATCAGTACCGGAAGTATATTGAGGAGAATAGAGTCTTTGGTTTTCTGGTTGGTTTGAATCCTGAGTTTGACTTTACATGGCAACACATTCTTAGTGCAAATATTGTCTCTCTTTCAACCACCTACTCCCTGGTGCAGGGGGAGGAGAGTAGAAAAGCTACTATGATGTAGCCTCTAGTGGCTGAGCACTTAGCCTTTGTCATCTAAACCCAAGCAGATGAAAAGTCTGAAGATGTGGTATGTGAGTATTGTAAGAAGCCTAGACATACCAAGAACAGATGTTAGAAACTAAATCTTCATTGGAAACCAAAGAAGTTCAAGATAGGGAGGAAAGGTAGTGTTCATTTGGCAATTGTTGGCAATGATGTTCAGCTTATTTCTGCTTCATCTTCTGCCTTAGACTCCTTTGATGTGCTGGATAAATTTTGGAGTCTCTTGCTGCACTTGGAGAAGAGTGGGACGTCTACATCTATTAGTTTTAAGAATCAGTCTAGTGCCTTTGCTAAGATAGGTGCACTTGCTTGTTCCTCCTCTAACAACTCTTGGATTGTAGATTATGGGGCTAGTGCCCACATGACCGGTGTGTCTTCTTCCATCACCTCATTTAAGTTAGCTCTAGGGAAGGGTAAAATTACAGTAGCCGTTGGTTCTCAAACTCTAATGTCTAGTCTGGGTGAAGTCAAACTTACTAGTAGCCTCACTTTGGGTTTTGTCCTCTATGTGCCTCAGTTGCATAAAAATCTATTATTTGTTAATTCCTTTACAAAATCCCATAATTGTTTATGACCTTTCCTACTTATTATGCCTTCCAAGACTTGAGCAGAGGGAGGATGATTGGAAGTGGACATGAGGCTGATGAAGTCTATCTTTTTTATCACACATCTGAACAAGGRTTGTTGTGCCAGATTGAGTCCTATCCTAATGAAAATTTGAGTCATTTAGAATTATGGCATTGTTGTCTTGGCCATGTCTTTTGGTTCCATGAAACGTTTATTTCCAAAGTTGTTTAATTCTTTGTCAAACTTGAATTTTTAGTGTGAAGCATGTCATTTGTCAAAGCAATGTAGAACAAATTTTGTGAGTAATAGAAGTAATGTTGCCTTTTCTTTGACACATACTGATGTTTGGGGCCCATATACTATTCCTTGCAAGGGTGGATACAAGTATTTCTTTCTTTTCATTGATGACTATTCTTGATATACATGGCTGTATTCGATGAAGAGTCAGGATAAGATACCTAAAATTATTCAAAATTTTCTAAATATGGTGGAGCCATAATTTTAGAAAAGAGTTAAAATCATAAGATCTGGCAATGCAAAGGAGTACTTTGAAAAACATCTACGGGTATTTCTTGAAGGGAAAGGAATTATTCATCAACGCTCATGTGCTCATACCCCTCAACAAAATGGGGTTGCTAAATGGAAGAACATGCATGGTTGAGGTGGCTCGAGAACAATTATTCTAGATGCATGTTCCCACTCATTTTTGGGGTGATGTTGAGACTACAGGTTATTAACTTCCATCCAGTACACTATGTCTTCAATCTCCTCACTAGCTCCTTTTCCTTGATGAACCAATGTTTAATTTACCCCTAAAAATCTTTGGTTGTACTTGCTTTGTGCATGACATGAGTTCTGCTAAACATAAATTTGATCCGAAGCCCATCAAGTGTATCTTGGTTATTCTCTTGTTCCGAAGGGATATAGATGTTTTGATCTTCTTTCTAGAAGGAGATATGTATTTAAGGATGTCACATTCCTTGAGTTCTTTCCTTTCTCCTGGTTATCGTGTCTTGTTCTTTAGGGGGATCGTGTTAGTAAAGATTGGACTCCTTTTTGCTTCCCTATTCCTACCCCAATATCTATCTATCCATCTACTTCTTCTTTTACTTGCTGTGGTAATATTCCTTCACCTCCTCCTCCTCCTATCTATCAGCCTCGATCTTGGCAGTAGTTTTTTATTAGGCACAATATGAGAGTGACTCTTGATGCTGAGTGTCCACCAAAATCTGAACTCCCAAATTAAGGTAATCTTGAACCTAACACATCTGTTATTGAACCTCATACCTCAAATTATAATCTTGATCTTCCTATTACCACTAGTAAAGGAAAGCGGAAATGCACCACTAGCTACCCTATTGCTATTTATGTTTCCTATGATGCTCTCTCACCCTCCTGTTGTGCCTATATTTTTGTTATTTTGTCTATTTCCATTCCTCACAGTGTTGTAGAGGTAGTGTAGTTATCTTAGTGGAAGGAGGCTATGAGCCAAGAGATGAAAGCTTTCGTAAAGAACCAAACTTGAGAGATTGTTTCTCTTCCTAAGGACAAGATTCCCGTTGGGTGAAAATGGGTATACACTGTTAAACACAAGGTTAATGGTTAAATTGAGAATGATCAGGCCTGTTTGGTGTTTGGTAGCCAAGGGGTATACTCAAACTTATGGCGTAGACTATCATGAGACATTTGCTCCTATGGCTAAAATGAATTCTATTTGGGTGATTATAGTTGTGAAACACACCTATAATAATTCAGAATTATGGAAAAAGAAAGGAAAGTTTCAATAGAAGTTTGTGAAAGAAGGAAAGAAGAAAGAAGAGAAGTGCTTGATCCTCTCTCTAGCCCCCCCCCCCAAGATATCTTATATTTTTCTGAATTCTAAAATGAGTACAATTCCCTAGATGCCCTGGCCACCCCTAAAGAATTAATAAAACAAAACAAAAGAGGCCCATAACTGAACGAACATAAAATAAAACATAACTTAAAAGAAATAAAGAAACTAAGGCCCATTCAACCCATTCTCATTACACTCCCCCTCAAGCTGAGGATAAATGTCAATCATGCCTATCTTGCTTACATAATGTTGAAGCTTTGCTTTTGGAACTCCCTTAGAAAATCTGCTAACTACTCTTCTGATGCAATGAAAGGAAGACCCACGTCTCCTGAAGCCACTCTCTCCCATATAAAGTGTCCATCTACCTCAATGTGCTTAGTTCTATCATGCTGAACTGGGTTGTGAGCAATGTTAATAGAGCTTGGTTATCACAATATAACATCAGTGGCTTGTCACACAAGACACCCATCTCATCAAGGAGAGATCTAAGCCATAACTCAGAAACCCCATGGGCCATAGCCCTATACTCTGCTTCAGTTGAAGATCTAGCAACCACTGACTGTTTTTTACTCCTCCAAGAAACAATATTCCCAGCTACCATAGCACAATAGCTTGATGTGGACCTCCCATCTTCAACATGACCTGCCCAATCAGCATCTGTATATGCTTCTACCTTCAATGACCATGTTTATCAAATAGTATACCCTTACCGGGAGTTCCCTTAAGATAGCTTAGTGCCCTTTCTGTAGCAACCATATGTGTGTCTCTAGGAGCATGCATGAACTGGCTGATTACACTCACAACATATGAAATGTCTAGATGAATTATACGTAGGTAAAGAAGTTTCCTCAATAACCTTTGAAGCACTCCCCTATCAACTAAGAGTTCTCTATCATAAGCTGAAAGTTTATGATTCACATCAATAGGGGTGAAGGCAGGTTTAGCACCAAGTTTCCCAACCTCAATAAGGAGATCCATCACATACTTTTACTAAGAAATAAAGATACCTTCTTTGGACCTAGCAACCTCAATGCCCAAAAAATCCTACATCTCCCCCAAGTCTTTGATCTCAAATTTAGAATTGAGGAACTTCTTGTGTATCATTACTAGTAACAACAATATCATCCACATAAATGATAAGAAATGTGACCCGATTATTTCTTCTCTTAACAAAGAGGGTATGATCTGATTGGATTTGAGTGTAGCCAAACTGAACAAGAGCAGCCCTAAACCTGTCAAACCAAGCATGTGGAGATTTTTTCAAGCCATAAAGTGACTTCTTCAATCTGCACACCTTACCCTGCATCTCATTACCATATATACCAGGGGAAGGGACATATATACTTCTTCAGTGAGATCACCATTTAGGAATACATTCTTAAGTCTTAACATCAAACTGATAAAGAGGCCAATCACAACTCACTGCTAAAGATAAAAGGATTTTCACAGAAGTCATTTTAGCAACTGGAGAGAAGGTCTCAGTGTAATTTATCCCATACACTTGAGTATATCCCTTGGCAACAAGATGTGCCTTATATCGCCCAATTGACCCATCTGCATGATACTTGATAGTGTAGACCCACTTGCACCCAATAGGTTCCTTCCTAGGTGGCAAGTCAATAATATCCTAAGTATTATTTTTATGAAGTGCTTCCATTTTAGTCCTCATAGCATCCCTCCACTCTGGTTTGGCTAAGGCTTTAGTCATTGACTCTGGAATGGGTTGAAAGAAAATAGAGGCTATAAAGGAATAGTAGGATGGGGACAACAAGCTATAAGAAAGATGTTTGGAAATGCAATGAGTTGTGCATTTCGTCTTACCCTTTCTCGGAGCAATAGGAAGGTCAAGGCCTAGAAACAAGGGTGCTAGTAGTGGAGATGTCGGACTTGTCCTCTCTTTGGTGATTGGAAGCAATTGAGATTCAACTAGAGATTTGGGATCAACCTATGTTTGCCTTAATCTTTGCCACTAGTACTACTTTGGAGAATAGGATGAGTGGTAAAAACTAGAGGACCAACAGGAGGAGGGGGAGGTGCAGGAATGGGAGACATCGAAAGAGAGGACCCCTCCATGGGAATAGAAGTAACTGTGGAGGGCTCAACACCAGACTCAATTTAAGGTGGTAAAGGAAGGGATAGAGAAAACAGTTCAAGAGAACTCTCTCCCTCGGAAAGGTGACTATGAAAAGGAGTTGGCTCTGCAAAGGTGACATCCATGGAAATAAACTGGGTGCCACTAATGGGATCAAAACAACGTACCCTTTCTGTATGGAGGCATAACCAAGGAAGATACATTTTTGAGCCTTGGGTTCAAACTTATGTCTCTTTGAATTGGGAATGTGGACATAGCAAGTGCAACTAAAGACATAGAGGAATGGAGAAAACCTCAACACTAGGAAAGAAGACACCAAAAGGAGACTTTAACCCCAAGACTTGGGAAAGCATATGGTTAATAAGATAAGTGGCTGTTAAAACTGCATCACCCAAAAATTTCACAGGAACATTGGTAGCAAAAAGAATACCCCTTGCACTTCCACAATATGTCTATTTTTCCTCTCCACTATATTTTGCTATGGAGTACAGGTAGAAGAACTCTGATGAACAATCCCAAATTTTTTAAGGTAGGAGGTAAGATCCTTCTCAAAATATTCCTTAGCATTGTTTAATGGGAATATTTTGATGCAGGTATCAAACTGATTAAGTATATATATTCATGGAACTGTAGCACAAGTTTAGGCACTTCTACACAAGAGTGCATAAGGTAAATCCAGATATATCGTGAAAAGTCATCAATAAATAGGATGAGATATCTATAGCCACCCATACAAGGTAAATGGTAAGGCTCCACATTAGAGTGAATAATATTAAAAGGAATATTTGATCTTTTATTACTTGAAGGATAAGTGTTCTTACAATGCTTTGAGAACTCACAAGACTCACAATGTAGACTCGATAGACTTATTCTTTTAAATCATTCTAGAAACAATTGACTCAATGAAGAGAAAGACAAATGACCCAAACAACTATGACATAATATAATACAACTAGTGGATTCTGAAACAAAAGCAGTTCTCTGAGGTTGTACTTGGCTTTGCTCATGCATGTCTAACATATATATCCCATTCACCTCGTGGTCAACTCCCAATCACCTTCTGAGATTTTATGTCTTGTAAAACACAATATGAAGGGAAAAAGGTCACACTGCAATTCAAGGATTTAACTAAATTACTAATTGAAAGCAAATTGGTATTAAGTTTAGGTACATTAAGAATAGATGATGAGGTTAGGGCATGTGAGGTCTTGATGTCTCCCTTTCCCATGATAGGAGCCAGTGAGCCATCAACAAGGGATATCTTGTCCCGGTTAGAAAGGAGTTGCTAAGAGGTGAATAAATGTGAAACACTGGTCATATGATCAGAGGCACCAAAATCAATTATCTAAGGGATTTTATAAGCACCTAAAATAGTAGCATGATTTGCAATGGCACGCTTGAGTGTGCATACACAAAGAAAGGAACTGTCTCTGATGAATTAGATGCTATAGCAGTAGACTCCAAATGACTAATTATTCAGCCATACTTCTCATACTCAACCTTGGTGGCTGCAAGCTGCTCTCCCACTAACTTCTCACCACTCTTCCCTTATTCATTCTGTGAGGAGGTGGATACATTTGCATTTCCACCTTTTCCATTCTCAATCCTTTTTCCACTGTTTCCATTCTTGACACTTGAGTTTGGCAAGAATGGGCTCTAGGTGCAGCTTCCAACAGGTGTCGTTAGTATGTTTAGGCTTCTTGTAGTACTCACAGACAACATCTTTCTTCCCAATGTTAACCTTTGGCTTCACCCAACATTAGCATAGTGATCAACCTATAGCTCTATAGACTGAACCTGTCTTCTGCTCTCCTCACTACTCACCATAGTATAAGCCTGAGACAAAGTCACCTCATTCTTTGCCAAAACATTTTGCCTCTACATCAGATGGATGTAAAGAATGCCTTCCTCAATGGGGACCAACAAGAAGAGGTTTATATGGAGTTGCCTCCAAGGGTGATCCTCCCTAACAGTGAAGGGAAGGTTTATCGTTTAAAGAAGGCTTTGTATGGTCTCAAACAGTCTCCTAGAGCTTGGTTCAATAGATTTAAAAGGGTTGTTTTGAAGATTGGATTTTCTCAATCTCAAGTTGATCATACTCTTTTCATAAGAAGAGTCAATGGACAAGCGACTATGTTGATGATATTGTTGATATTGGAGATGGTTTTTAGGAATCAACTAGTTGAAATCCTTCCTTGCTTCTAAGTTTGAAATTAAGGACCTTAGTGAGCTTAAATGTTTCCTTGGAATTGAAGTTATTTTCATTTCTCAGAGAAAATATGTTCTACACTTACTCCATGAGGTCGGGAAATTGAGGTGCAAGCGTGTTAAAACCTTAAGTGATCCTAATCACAAGTTGAGTGCTAGTTTTGGAGATATTCTTCTAGATAGGAGGGTTTTATCAAAGATTGGTTGGTCGGCTCCTTTCCCTTTGCTTGACTATACCTGACATATCCTATGTAGTTAATGTGGTAAGCCACTATATGTATGAACCAAGGACCTCTCACATGCAAGCTGTCAATAGAATTCTTGCATATTTGAAGGGATTCCCAATAAGAGATGTTATACTCCAACCATGGACATCTAAAGGTTGAGGCTTATACAGATATGCAAACTAGGCAGGATCTATTGATGACATGAGATCTACATCTAGCTATTGTACTTTAGTTGGAGGCAATGTGGTTTCATGGAGAATCAAGAAACAATCAGTTGTTGCTCGTTCTAGTGCAGAGGTAGAATACAAGGCAATGGTACATGGAGTGTTTGAGTTGCTTTGGTTAAAGACCCTATTGACAGAGATGGGAATCTAGACAGATACTCCAATGAAACTCTACTGTGATAACCAAGAAGTTATAAACATTACTTATAATCTTGTGCAACATGACCGTACAAAGTATATTGAAGTAGACCAACATTTCATCATAGAGAAGATAGCCAGTGAAGAGATTTTTCTAACCTTTGTGAGATCATAAGACCAGCTTGCTGATTGTCTCACTAAGGGAGTCCACAAAACAAAATTTGACAGTAATTTAGACAAGCTGGGCATGATAGATATCTGTGATCAACTTGAGGGGAAGTGTTAAGAACAGATTTTATTGGAAGGGTATTTTTGTCTTTATCCCTGTTTATATTTTGGGTGCCCAAATAAGGGCACTATTGTAATTTGTCATCATATTAGAATTCTTTGGTCTATGGGTGTGAATAGTGAATAATACACCACATTTAAACAACCCTTCTTATTACAAGTTACGACTGTATTAGAGCTATTGATTCTACATTAATTGGTGCCATCCTACGTCACAACCACTAACTTTTTCCTGTCACAAATCAGAAGAGATCTAGGCTGAACAGCTTTGCCACCAAGTCAGGGGTATATTAGAATTATATATGGTATAAAGCAGTTGAAACCATGGTAATGGGATTTTTTGAGGCTGGTCAACTATAGAAGAAAATTTGGCTTGCCTACAAGTCATAGTGTTAGTTCATTTTTCATCTTGCAGCCTGGTCTATGGAGGTTATGCAGCTGAATTTATTTTCATTTTAATTTTATTATTATGTTTTTTTTACCACATATTCAAGTTATATAGCCTCTTTTCACATTGTGATCTTTGTTTATAATTCCTTACTTTTGGTGTCAGGTCATTCCTTTGAAGCTCGGATATATGCCGAAAATGTTCCAAAAGGATTTCTTCCAGCAACTGGAGTCCTCCATCATTATCATCCTGCCCCTGTCTCACCAACAGGTGCATGCACATGTAGAAGGAAAAAGGCTGCCATACTTTGTTTTTATTTTTATTTTTTCTGTAGAAGTTATTCAAATGGGTGAGGAAAGAAGAAGCTGTCTCCCCCTGACACTATTGATTTATTCAAAGATGGATAACCACCATTTTGATGGTTCCATGTAGAAGATTTCTAGTCCAGGATTTTTCCAATCAAATGATCCTAGCCATCCAGTCTATAGAATGTCTATTGGGATATCTACCAGTCACAGACATAAACAATCTGTGAACATATTGCTGCAATTCAAAAGAATGACAGCCTCTCTGTATCTGCAGGGGTAAGGCTGCATACATCTGCCCCTCCCCAGACCCCGCATTAGTGAGAGCCTTGTACACTGGGCTGCCCTTGTAGTCAGGATGTTCTAGGTGTTTTTGTCATGTTTAGAATATGCATCTACTTTTCATGCTAGCTATTTTTCTGACATTATCATTCTGTTAACTGAAGCCACTTTCTGATCTGCTTACTGAGCAGTTCGAGTTGAGGCAGGAGTGGAACAGGGAGACACTGTTAGCATGCATTATGATCCAATGATTGCTAAGCTTGTAGTATGGGGAGAAAATCGTGATTCAGCATTGGTTAAATTGAAGGATTGCTTGTCAAAATTTCAGGTATATCTAGTTTTGTGAATTTGAAGAAAATGTGGTTATCAGGTTTTATTGTCAGGATGATTGACACCAGTATGTCTACAGTTGGTGCCTGTATCATCTTATACAGGGTTGTCATTTTCCAAACTATGATACCAGCATACCTTTACAATGTTGTCGTATCATGTCAGATGCTTCAATTTTTAGTGTAAATTTCGATCTGATACTATATCCATCTAAGTTCTTGACACATCTGTGAAACAGTTTCCAAATCCTTTCCCAGAAGTTGAACCTTCTTGGAACTCCTCTCTCAGAAGTCATAGTATTGGGAGTTTGATTTAATATTATTTGTTGTCCTCCAGTATACCAATTCAAAGCTCTCTTTCATTAGTGCAGAAATGCAATAGATATTTCATTGCTAGACAGTAAAAATGATTTAGATGTTCTATGTAATATAGATGTAGCTCTGATTAGATAATAATGAAAAGTAAAATAAAGTTGGAAAGAATATCCAGACAAACCATCTATAAGTTTACGGTTATCTTTATGACAATATTGCATCATTAAAATATCTATGTATCTTTATCATTTATATCTATATAACCTTTGGGACATCCAGACACTAAAAAAATGCTTGTTTATAAATCTGGTTCCCTCGTCTGATTTCATGGTACGGTTGCATGCACTTTGTTGCCCTGATTGGACAATCAGTGAAAACATGGTAGATGGTTCAACTCAATCAACTTTAATCCCAACTATTTGGGGCAAGCTACATGGATTCTGTCCTTCTGTCATGCTCTATCAAGAGCTATTATAAGCCCTTAGATAATTTCCTAGCACTTCAACCTATACTTTCTTTGGTCTTCCCCTTTTCTCTTTTGGAGTCTTCTACATGCACCGAGTTGCTCCTTCTTTCTGGTGCAGTTATTGGTCATCTATGCACATGACAAATTTGAATTTGCACTTTCAATATCTCTCAATCATGCGTGTTTGCTACTGAATCCTATCTTCTAGAAGTGTGCCTCAAGTGTACCACTATCTTCTTGGAACTATAGTCCACTAGGTGGGTTATTTAGGTGTCTTGTGAAATATAATATCTGTCACCTCTGATTGGTTTGATGCCTCTGTATAGCTTCTATTGAATATTTTCAGGGGTGTCATGTTTGTATCATTGAGGTTTCTAAATTAAACCCCAATATTAAATGCTAGCAATATTTGCAGGTCGCAGGCTTGCCAACCAATATTAATTTCCTACAAAGGCTTGCCAAACATTGGGCATTTGAAAATGGACAAGTGGAAACTCACTTTATTGAGCATTTTAAAGATGACCTATTTTTCGATCCATCTAATGAAATATTGGCAAAAGATGCATATAATGCTGCTGCACTGGGTGCAACATTGGTTGCTGCTTGTATTTGCAAAAAGGAACAAGTAGCTTACAGGGAAAGTCTTCCTGGTAAGTTCAGTGATATAAACATGTTGGGTGGTATTACTGAACTATTCATGGTGTCTTAATATCCAAATTTACAAGCTTTTGCAGGGGATAGTAGTTTACTCTCTTTATGGTATGCTCATCCACCTTTCCGAGTCCATCATTCTGCAAGGTGTACAATGGAACTTGAGTGGGATGATGAGTATGATAACAGTATCTCAAAGATTTTGAAGCTTGGTATCAAATATCAACCAGATGGGAACTATTTCATTGAGGTAAATCCTACTTATAATATTCATAAAGAGATGGTTTCAATTCCAATTTCTGTACTTCAAATTCAGATTGTTCTCTGTTTGCATCAGATTTTCTGTTCTACCTATACTTGTTCTCTGTTCATTTCCATCCCTGTGTTTACTCTTAGGCTGTGTTTGGTTTGATAGAAGATGAGAGAGCAAACTTGAGGGAAAGTTCTCAAGGAATTTCACAAAAATTGTTAAGAATTCCCCTCAACTTTCTGATACTCTCTTATTTATATCAAACCAAACATAGCCTTAAGTTTTTTTCTTTTTTTTTTACTCAAAAAGTGTTGTATATGCACCCAACAGAGAGGAGATGGTGATTCTCGTGGGATAGAAATTAAAGTTCTATACCTTGGACATCATGATTTCAGAGTTGAAACTGATGGATTAAGCATGGATGTTAGTTTAGCTGTTTATACCCAGGTAAACTCTTTCTGCAAACACATTCTTTCATTTACCTATCAGAAAGGTGGTCCATTAATATGCTTTATTTGATACCCATTTTTATGTTGCAATTTTAGGTTATTGTTTTATTTGATATTTTTCGATATATAGATTTGTTATTTAATATAAGAGACTAAATCAAGTTTTATTTATAAAAATTAACCCACTTTATGGATCCTACATCATTTGAAATGAGGTTTTGTTTTTTTTTCCCTCTTTTAGTGGGGGTAACTACCACTAACCTTTTTGAGAATGGAGATAACTACCATTTGAAGCTCATACTCTTTTTGAGTGGGTAGACACGTGTCTGAGGAAGGAAGCTTTTGTTTGGAGTGGGAGTAACCACTTTTGAGATGCTCTTTCTTGAGAAACTAATAGGACACTTGTCTAAGGGAGAAGCTCTCTAGTCTGAGGGATTTGTTTTAATATATATATATATATATAGTGCAACAATGGGTGTTTTGTTTTTGGTAAAATGAACAGAGGTATTCTGATCATTTCTCTTTAATTTAACTCAAGTGTATAAATATATATATATGAAATAGGCATCGGCCTCCTTGCACTACCAATTTCTCTTCACCGAAAGTAATTTTTTTTTTCTTGCTTGTCATTGCCGATTCTTCTTCACATTTAGAACATGGAAGACCTCCCTCTTGAAATCATCTTCAACATCCTCTCAAGATCACCAGTGGAGACACTTCTCCAGGCTCCAGCTGAAAATCCCAAGGGTTTTCTTTTATTTCATTTCCCCTCTTTCATACATTACTACATTAGCAAAAGTTTTTCCTTCGGAACCTCACCAGTAAGTCATCTCCTTCTTTAAGAAATGAATTTTTTCTTACCTATTGCTTCTCTGGTTGTTTGCACGTTTAAAAAACTTGGGGTTCCTCAAATATAAAATAAAAGAGCTAGTTTTACTGGGTTTTCTTACAGAGAGCATTTCTTCTTCTTGCTTCTTTAATAAATGTTCAAATCCAGGTCTGACCGACTATTTTCTTCTTATTTGTTTGTTTCCTTTATTCGTCTGTATTGCTTCTTTGTCCCACCATGGATGCTGGCTGGGTTAATAAACAGCTTAAAAATTATAACAATGTCCATTTCACCAATTTTACATCTGGACTGTAAATGAAAATTCTTTGGAATTTCATCAAACATTGAAATTGRATATGAGGAGTAATTTAAGTTCAATAAAATAATTATAACCATAATTGGTTTTCTTTAATTTAATTGTTTTTTTTTTTCTTTCAGAAACTCTTTTTGCTTTAATTTTTATTTTTTCTTGGTTAAAAATCCTCTCGTACTGATTCTTAGCACTACCTGGGTCAGGTTGGGTTGGTATCGGATTCAACCCTATAGGGTTGGGGCGGGTTTGGGAACAGTGGTCTCTTAACTTGGGTTGGGTCAGGATTGGGTGGAGACAGTGGAGGGTTGTGTTAGGGTTGAGGCAAACATGTACTGAACCCGGCCTATTGACATCCTAGTCTGAGTGTTGTAATCATGACAATGTGCTTGGCATGGGAGTTTTGCATAAGCGTTTATGAAAGCTTGGGTCCTAACAGATTTTCCTTTTGAATTATTTATGCAAGTAATATTCACTAGGATGTAGACTACAGCTCAAGCTACTAAATTTATCCTTCACTACTCATCAAAAATGAAAATAATGGAAAACAAAGAAAAACAAAAGTTTCCTTTTGCCAACCTAAGTAGCAAATTTCTTTGATAATTTTCTGCTTTAGTAAAAATATAGCCAAAGAAAAATATTAGCCTCTTTTTCTCATTTGGAGTTTTTTGGTTGTGCTGTAGGGGTATACTAAGCACATCCATATTTGGCATGGTAAATATCATCATCATTTTAGACAAAGAATAGGTCTTGATCTGTCAAACGATGAAGGCTCTCTGGATAAGCAAAGTTTTGAAGCAGCATCCCATCCTCGAGGGACTGTGGTAGCACCAATGGCAGGCTTAGTAGTAAAATTACTGGTGAAGGATGGGATGGAAGTGAAGGAAGGGCAGCCTGTCTTGGTCTTAGAAGCAATGAAAATGGAGGTATGCTAGTCATGCATGTTTCTGTCTTACATCTTTTATTTTTTTTTATGATAGAAGAAATGCTGATTATTTTTCTGCTTGTTCCAGCATGTTGTCAAGGCACCATGTGCTGGATTTGTCCGTGGGTTTCAAGTCAAAAATGGCCAGCAGGTTTTTGACAGCAGTATTCTCCTCAGTATTAAGGTAACTCTCTTTGCACATCAGGGAGTAACAAAGATACTATAGACACTAGAGATTATCAAGGATGCCTGCAAATTGTCATACTGCAGGGTCAATCTAAGCAAAAATTACTAGTTGTTTTGCTCATGTGTCATATGTTGATGGGCTTAAATGCCCAGTTCTTTCTTACAAAGGTGAAAGAATTTTAAAAACTGGTGAGGTACACCAGCTTCTTTTTGTTTCCTTTTTTTGGGAGGCAGATGTTGATATGCCATTTTTATCTTGTAACTAATGGAATTAAAGAATAAGCCTATTAAAGAAAGTTTAAGCCAACAAACGGAAAAAGTAAACAATAACCATTATAGTTCAGGAGATAAGAAACCTATAATTGTATTTCTTTATGATCTATACAAACTGTTTGGTGCACTTGTTTTTTGTGCTACTATTTACTCTATGATAATAAATACTGGTATGCATATTGAGTTCAAGCTTTTGAAAGACAAAATCACTTCTTATTTGGAAGAGATTGAATAGAACCTCACCACAGTGCTTACATGGTTACATTTTGTGAAGGAGTCTGACTATGATACTAGAAAGGTATGATGCCTAAAAAACTGAAAACCAATGAACTGGTATCACCCGGGGGTGGTGGTTCTGATTGGCTAGAATTCTTCCAGTTTCATTATTGCATATTTATTTGGTTGGTTATTTCCACATTTGACATCTTTTGTGTTCATGGTCTTTTAGATGCAAAAATTTAGCTTTGGAGAATAGATCACAAATTTATCAAATAATAATAAACTACACAAAATCTAGTGTGCCAGGGTATTTACTCATGTTGAAAATCTGTTTAGGTGAAACTTTCAGGGTTCTGGATGTTCTGCCTAAGTTTTGAAAAACACCCTTGATATTCATCTGGTTGATAGGAGGCCCGAGGTTTGGCTCATGTTAAATAGAGTGGCTCCCTAATTTTTCTTTTAGGCTGTGTTTGGTTTGAAAGAAAAGGTAGGGAAACCTGTACCCCCTACTTTCCCTACCTTTTCCTTCAAACCAAACACAGCCTTAAGGTTTCTACGGTGGCCATCTGAAATGAATAATCCCGGCTCAACCCCTGCAAACCTGCAGGTAGCCTGTATGTGGATAGGGGCACATGCACTTTACACATGATGAAGTGACTTTTACTCCATGTTCCAGGATGAATAGCAGTGGTACTGAGCTCCTTTGTCCAGAAAAGCGCTGCTCAGACAAGGCCTCAGTTTGTCTCTGAGTTTGAACTGCTTTATGGCAGCAGCGAGCAGGGCCAATCTACGTTGCTTCGGTAAGAAAATTCTTATGATAAATAACTTGAAAAAATGAAGATATTTTCTTTTAGTAGTTTTTATTTCTTTATATGAAACCAAGTGTCACCATATAAATTATGGCTTAAAGCTTGTCATTACTGCAAATCAAAAGGAATCTTGTATATTCTCAATTTGTAAAAACAAAAGAATTAGTCAATCAATATTGGAGATGTATATGTTACCTTTCTCCTTTAATTTTTCGTTTTGCAACCTCCTATTAAGAACCTTTCATGGACTTTAATATCAAAATACTAGGATCATAGGGCTATCCGGCTATGTATTTTCAATTGCTGCCTAGTGGATCACTTTATACTATTGTCTAATTCTTGCACTGATACACTCCAGGGAGGAAATGCCGAGTGGAAGAAGGTAATAATGAGCTTAATGAATAAAATTTGTGATACGAAAGGCCTGGTTTGAAACCTTTCTTCACCCACTCATAATCACTATTCCCTATTTCCCCAGCAAAGTTTGATTAGCTGACTTTTGAAAAAAAAAAAAAAAGAAGTCAATTATTGGATGGTAGGCTCAGCTGATTCTGCTGACTCTACAAAGTGGGAATCCTTTACATGGAGTCCACAGATTTGAAGGAGAAACTAGCAACATAACCGGTTTCATTGCTATAACTTGCGCGTGCAAGTTCAAATGCACCACAAGATGGCATGGGTGCTGACGCATCAATGACAGTAATGAAAGTGATGGGTGGCAATGCTCATTGGGATGGTCCATGCACCTGGGGTTATATATATATATATATATATATATTCAAGTTGAGACTTGGTATCAAAACAGTTTTTTCTTTTCATCATTTCTTAGTGTGATTTTTATATTCTGTTTTGACAAAAGATTGATGGTGATGCCTTGGGTTTTCTTCCAAAATCAGAACAAATTTACTTGAAAAGTAAAGCACAGATTTGCAAAGGTAACAAGGATCGTACTAGTGGCTGATTGCCCAGCTGGTGTCTGGTGAACACTTTGAACCAACATTTAGATATTGATAAAATAATGATTTTTGGGCTTATTGCTATGGCATGTGGCTTGGATGAAAATTGAAATGRCCCTGCTTCGGTGCCGATAGGCAGATGCTTAACTATTAAAAACTGTTACAAACCCATACTTTCTAGCATCATAATTTGCCCTATGGGTTCAACTATGATACCGAAAAGACAAGATATTCGAAAAATTTATGACCAATCAACTGGTATCATAAATTTGTTAACCAATCAGTTGGATTTGTCAATATTCACGAGTGGATTTTGATTGGTCAAAATTCTTTCCGTATCATGTCTTTTTTGTATCATAGATTTTTTCTAAATTATAACAAATCAATGTTCAGTTTCCTTTTGCCCCATAGGGCTATACAAGGGGGGTAGCCCATAACCCATCCCTCCCAACTTTAGTGCAGGTGGGATTTGATCCCAAGTCTCTGCTACAACCAATAAGAGACCTTATCAATATGCCAGTTGGCACCTTGCATAACAAATTAATACTTAGTTGGTATAGACCTATTTTAAATTTGAATTGACTATTAAGTAGCGCAGCTAAAAATTATAAGCATATATTCATAAATATTCAAATACAAGTTACTTATATGAAAGAAAGATTCTTACTACAAAGCTATACATACTATTACAATTTGTTACAATGACACATGCGTAACATTTAAGCCATCTTTATCCAACCCAACATCTTCTTGTCAATACTATATCAATAGAGAATTAAGGAGTAATTTAATTAATTGATCATTGAAACTAATTTTTTTCTTTATTTAAATTACACCATAATTCTTCCATCATTTTCAAATGTTTCTCCAAGTATATTTTGGTAGTCCAGGCTTCATATAAATTATTAAATTCTGCCTTCTATATAATACTTTATTTATAACCATTTGAAACTTGAATTTGGTGTTGTATATAAGGTTCAAAATATTGCAAGCTTTGATGCGTATCAGATGATATGTATCAGTTTTTCAAACATGCCCAAATTTGGTTTAGAGGGTTTTATTTATTTATTTCTTTTTGATGGTGGGGGTGGGGGTGGGGGTGGGGAGATCTATAGGTTTAATGGTTAGACCCTCTCTTATTATACTCAACCCTGAAACATCATACAAAAATAATAAAAAAGGGGATTATCTTAAAGTTGAAACACTCAAGCGTTGTTTGGATACTCTGAACCTTGAATGTAGATGTATTCTTGAGAATTATATGAATTTTTTTAGATTATTTATACCGATTTTAATTTTTAGGGTAAAACACAAAAAACCTCCCCTGAAGTTTCTAACAATCATAAAACCTTCCCTATTGTTTCATTTTAACAAATACCCCCCTAAACTTTTGAGAAACTTGACAAAAACCTCCCTTCACCCACCTTCCTAGACGAAAAACGTTAGACTGGTGCACCCATTTTTTTCAAATGCCCATTCTACCCTTTTATAAATTATTATACATACAAAATTACTAAAATAACCATGTTTTAATTTGACAAAAAACCTGCTTTAACGTTCATCTTCTAATGTTTTTGTCAAGTTAAAATAGGGTTATTTCAATCATTTTGTATGTAAAATAATTTATAAAAGGGTAGATAGGTATTTGGAAAAAAATGGTGCATCAGTCTAACATTTTCCATCAGGGAAGGTGACAGAAGAGAGATTTTTGTTGAGTTTCTCAAAAGTTCAAGAGAGGTATTTGTTAAAATGAAACTATAAGGGAGGTTTTTATGATTGTCATAAACTTTTAGGGAAGTTCTTGTATTTTACCCTAATTTTTAATATATCCATGCCTTTTTAGCATGTTATAGCATCTTTTAAATTTGCCTTTCATTATACCCTTATCAATACTTTGAACCATAATTTAAACTACTTCTTTGAATTGGCAGTACTACTTATAACGGTCATACGACTTTTTGGTTGAATTTCTATTACAAATTCTGAAAAAAATTCTATGATACGGGAAAGATGTGATATGAAAAGAGTTTTGACCAATCAAAACCCACTCATAAATTTTAATAAATGACACTTGACTCACTATCATGTTTATGATTCCAATTTATTGATCAGCTGTTTTTTCAATATCATATCTTTTCCATATCATAGTTGAACCCTACAAATTCCACAACTTAGAAAAAGGCAGGCCCGTTACTTCATCACCATTAGATTTACAATAGGAATATGATGTGATGTGGGATCAGCTTGTCCATTGACACTTTAAACGATCAAGAAAGATGGGCTGTTCTGGTACCTCCTCACCATCAGATCAATGAGTAGGACGGTGAAGTGGTTGGACACAACACATCCAGTTCCTTTGCACAAAAGCAAAACTATAAGACCATCAACCTTTGAGGGAGAATTGAAGGGTTTGACTTGTGCTCTAGCAATTGTTTGTATGAAGTTTTGAAAAGGAAATCCATGACCTACAGTTAAAAACTAACACTCCTTTCTTGTTCCCAATAATCAAAATATGGATACAGTGGATACCAACACCTTGGGTATCAGTATACTGTGTATATATACTTACTTTTTTTTTAATTTTTATTTTAACAGCATCGATGATGTGATCATATTGATATTTGATCCTTGCTTGTTGCAAGAAATGTAGACCACTTATTGATACAATTTGAAGAAGATCAGTGATACAAAGTTAAGTTTTTTTAAAAAAAAAAAAGAAAAAGAAAAAGGTTCAATTTATCGATGTGCAAAAAGTTTGCTTGTTGTACATTTCAAAGGATCAATGTAAAATGTTCCCACCGTCTAACTTTGAACCTGAACATGTTTAGGGAGGATATTAATTATCAATTATAACCACATGCCTTAAATCTTAGTAATTATTAATTAGCATACCAATGAATGCATATTATACGATATGCTGTGATTCATATTGATACTTTGAACTTTGGTTTAGACTTTAATATTGAAATCAGAGAATAATATAAAAAACTTATAACTTTATATATATATATATATATATACCCCGGTCCAAATGAATGGCATTGATTGATTAATACATGGGCACTTCTCCTACATAAATTTCTATGGCATCTAAGGTATACAACCTGGAAAAACTTCAATTCAGTGGTTGTCAGTTTATTTAGGTACCATACCATTTCGGTATGGTACTGATTGATTAATACATTGCATTTTCTATCACCTACTCCCTCCTTTTTGTCATTTGTGTCGTGTCGGATTTTCTATCAAAGTTCATAGGGTTCCAACGTCCAAAAAGAGTGGTAGGAATATTGGCCTTCAATGCAATATCATGGGTGACTCCGAAAATTCGACAAGTTTGATTTTTATTATTTCCTCTTTTTAGGATTAATTATTAACATTTTCCCTTTCTAGCGCATCAACAACGGTCAGCCTCAACGATTGTGCCCTTTAAGGCTTTAATCTGTAACCGTAAGAAACCAGGTACAATTACCAAATTCCCCTTACTACTATGTGAATTTTCTCATCGATTACGAAAGAACTCCCAAGATTCCCTGGAAAACTTGGGATGCAAAGGGATCGCATAGGATTTTCAACATATATCCCCAATCCGATATGACAGTATAAATAGTAAATTCGATCCGATTTCACAAATATCGATTCAAATCCGAATCCATTAATAATATCGGATATCGAATATGATTTGATCCAATTTAATTTTTGAAAATTAAAAATAATATAATAGTTTATATAAAGAAAAAAAAATTCTAAGTATTTTCTTTAATTATTTTCATCATATTTATATATACTTTCTTATAAAAATTATAAAAAAGTAATATAAACATAAATAAAATAAATAATACATATATACATATATATATATATATGCCAACTTTTGGGCCTTTATCATTAAATATATTATTTTTAATGATATAATAATTTATATTATATGATATTGATGTTAGGATATTTATTCATGTGTGCAAGTAAAGGTAAACATATTTTAATGATATATTGTCAAATTTAAGTTTTATGATCTTCATTAATATCAAGGCAAGTATGTACTTTAGAACAATGTTTTAAAAACGACTCGGAGGCCAAACTATTTTTGCCTTCGGGTTGTAGTCACCGATTCAACTAGGGGTGGGAATTTCCCCTTCTCGGTGGGGTCAGGGATGGGGATTGTTTTTGTGGGGGCAGGGATGGGTATGGGGATTAATAGGAATCCCCAATCGGGGTTGGGAGATGGGGATTGAGGTCCCCGCTCCCGATTATACACACACACATATATACATACATACATACATATATATATATATGATATTTAAAACATTATTTATAATTTAAAAATTATATTTATTTTAAGTAAAATTATTAAAAAAAACTGTTATATAAAAAATTTCAAGGATTCGAGTCCTTGCGGGCAAGGTTCTAAATATCGGCACGGGCCCATATGTCAGTAAGGTGTATCGGCCTATGTCGATGCTTTTTTTTATATATTTTACTTATTTTTTTCAAAATCAGTTCAGATGGGCCGGTTTAAGGCCTAGCTACCCTTTGAACTAGTGGCTGACTTGATACAACCCCTGTAGGGGTGTATTGGGAAGCCATCAGCATGATACGGGCTGATACGTGTCGATACTTTGAACCTTGCCTATGGGGAACCCATCCCTGTCAGGGATCGGGGATGGAAGACAAATTTTATCCTCGATGGGGGTTAATTTCAGAATTGGGGTCGGGGACGGGGAATATGATCCCTGCCCTGAACCCACCCTGTTGTCATTCCTAGGTTCGACCGGCCAGGTCAAACGGTTCAGATTGTGCCATGTCAACGCGTATGTATTTTAAGTGTGTGTGTACAAATACATATTTTATCAATAAATAATGTATAATTATATTTTGAATATGATATATGTATTATTGTATATTTAATTTATGTTTTTAATTCAGTTTTTTAATTTTTTATTTATAAAAAATGGTTTTTTTTCACAAAAATAGAGGGGCAAGACACCTACGATACCTTGGGACACATACATCTTGAAAAGTTACCCAAAATAAAAAACCAGTTCAATCAAATATCAGAGTGCAAAGTTATGGCCTCCCAAAGTTTGCATACACAGTTAGTATGCAACCTACAACCTGATCACTAGGTTGACTGGGTCAACAGTCCAACCATCTAGGTCAGATGATTTTTAACAAATTTAGCAAGGTTTGACATTTCTCTGGGTTTTACTCGAACTGGACCTGAAATCTTCTCCGAGTGATAATTTGAACTATTCAACCAATCAGGTCAACGGTGGGTTAAAAATGCTTTATAATAATATACATGGTGTTTGGAAGTATGAGCACTTTTTGGGACCAATTTTCAAGAAAAAACGCCCATGCTTCCAATACCCGTTTTCACACACACACACACACACAAAAAAAAAAAAACGCTTTTGCCACATAGGCAGTGAGTAACACTATGATGTTTGGTAAGGTGATTTTCATCACCGTTTTTCATGTATGTATTGATAGGTAAGCACCACATAGGATACACATTAGTCAACCATTAGGAGAAACGGTTCACCAATGCATGAAACGTCAAATTGTCATTTCATGCATCGATAGAATCCCAATTTTTTAATAATCGGCTAAACCAAACAATAAGATACATGGGCGTTTGTTGAAACGCCTATATAAATCCAATATGACACCATTTTTTTTAAAAACAGCCACGGTTCCAAACATCCCCATAGATAATATAAACCTGGCTAAACTTAATTTATCCCTCAAGAATACTCGTATCTAATGACCCAAAAGTTTAGATCGTCCAAAGTGCTAACCAACTAATTGGTAAGGTCTCAGGATGGTCGTAGTGGAGCCTTAGTGTCCTTTCGAATCCAGTGGTGCAAGTTAGGTACCCAAATTAAAGCATTTACACTACGTGCCATTAAACTTTTAACAAATTTTCAACCTAAGATTGCCAAGTTGCACTGCTATTGAATATGAGACATAAGATCATATTTGCATAACCATAGGCATGGACCTTGCATGCACTCTGTTTTATTCCACCCCTTCATCCCCTCTAATGTGTAAGTAGAGAATAAACCCCAATACTAAGTACCGGGCCAGTATTTTGGTAAACTTTGTTAGACAACCATTTTTTATGTTGTAGATTTATGTTATTATTTCATTTGATATTTTTTTATATATAAATTTGTTATATAATTTAGAGATCAAATTATATTTTATTTCTAAATAATAATCTATTTTATGGATCTTACATTATTTGAAATGAATTTTTGTTTTTTAGTAAAGTCAACTACCATTAATCTTTTTTGAGAATGGAGGTAAAAGCTCATACTCTTTTTATTTTTTTTAGAGTGAGTAAATATATTGCTGAGGAAGAAAGATTTTGTTTGAAAGTGGGATTAACCACTTATATATTAGATATATGATATAAAAAACCAAAAATCTATGATAAGACATGGTGCCAAAGAGCTTTGATCAATTAAAACACCTCATGAATTCTGATGAATACCATCTGATTGATCAATTCATGAATTGGATGTAAGTTTTTCCGGTACCATCTCTTTCTAATATCATAGTTGAATTGAATCCTATATTAGAACAATTATTGTAAAATCACGTGCTAATGTGCTATACACATTTGTGCAGATATTAGGTTATTAACCATATAAGATATGTGGTATTTAAATTTAACTTTCATAATCTGTCTGGGGTTGTTAATGGGTCAGGTCTAGGTGGAACCTAAACCGATCTCACAATAAATACTAAGGACCCAGATCTGGAACCAAATTGGACCCGTTAGGGTCTATAATTTTAGACCTACAACCAAACCAATCAGTTCATAAGACAATTAGGCTAACCCGGTGGACCCGATTATAATAAACCTGTTATATAAATAATATTAATTTATTTAATATATAGTAAAAAATATATATATATATATATATAATTTAACATATTGTATATATTTAATTATATATTATATATGTATACAAAGTTTTAAAAACCGACTCAGAACTAGAACCATTTTGACCACCGATTTTTGAGTCGAAGGTTCAAACGGATGACTAATTTCAACTGAAAAAATACAAAAATTAAAATAAAAAACAAAAAACCATTGAACGGATCAACAATTCGACCGCTTGAATCAACAAGTCATTAACCAAATCAATGGTTTTTGACCAAGGACAAGGTTGAGGGTGAAATGGAACCAATTACTTGTATGGTCCCGGGGCCGAACGATCTAATTGTTCGAATTAACGATGGTTCGAACAATTCAGAAACCGGGTGGAACTGATTCCAAACCGGGATAATATAATCAAATCAGATATCCATTTTATACAGTAATTGTTTTTGGATATTTGGTTTAACAATATTTGATACATGATATTTTGATTTAATTGCATGAGGGATAGACGTATCCGCTTTTATATGGTAATAGATTTTTTTTTTTTGCTTCTATTATATGGTAATAGAATAGATCGATAGTTATATGGTCCACTTGTGTGGATATCATCAGACATTCCTAGGGTGATGTGGTTATATTATTCCCCACATTGATTTTGATAAAATCTGGAAATTCTAAGGCCATCTCCACCTCATGTGAAGGCAAATAAATAAAAGGATAAAGAGTACTTTTGTCACAAGGAGGGCAGTTTAGTCCTTTAAAGAATTCTTTTAATGAACCGGTAAATTCGTTAAAAGGAGAGGGAGGGAACTGGGAAGAGAGTTTTGCACTTGTACGCAGTACGCCCTCTTCCCTGCTGTGTCTGATTTTAGGTTTTGATTGCTGCGGTTTTCTCAACTCTCATCTTTCATCTCTTCTTCCTTCTTTTCTGCTTCTTCTTCTTCTTCTTCTTTCATTTTCTTAATCCGGCTCTTCTTCTGTTTCTTCTCCTCCTATTTTTTTTTAATTATTTTAATTATTTTAATTTCCATAAATAAATATATATTATTTGCTTTTGCTTTAAATCTCTTCCAATGGAACCCTACTTTCGGTCGCAATAGATTGAGCCGCTGATGTCGATAATGATGTCATGGGCTCTACTGTCTACAACTGCGTTTTCCATCTGACAAAAGCCACTCGACTTGAGGCTTTAACCACCCATTCTTTCAATTTTGGTCAACCATTCCGTCTCTCTCGCTCTCGCCTTCCCTCTATCATCCCCCCTCTTTATCAACGCAGCTCTTTCTTTTCCTTTAGCTATCTATCTATTTTCATCCCGTTGGTTTGCTTTTCCTCATTTGGCGGTTTTTTTTGGTCTTTGAATTCGAGCCTTTTTTCGTTTGGAATTTTGTTGGGTTTAATTGCCGTGGGTGGTGGGCTGTTCACTTTTACTTTAAAATTTTTATCTTTTTTGTTCTGAGTCGTTACAGGTTAGTGGTGGGAATTTTTAAGTTAGAAAGAAGGGAGTATAGCTGACAATGAATTTAGCAATTTTGAGCTGATAAAGGCCATTATTTTTTTTTTCTCCTTGGCGTGCTGGTTTAGTTTCTTTTTTTTTTTTCAAGGGAAAAACTCACTAGTGGTTAGAATTGTTTGTTGGGTCTTAAGTCAATATCGTGGAGTTGGAATTAGGATATTCAGGGTTTATTAGATCAATTCCTTTTCTAGTGGTTTTGATTTTATTTATTCTTTTTGTGTTTATAATTATTAGTTTGGTGTTCTAGGTCGATACAGGAGGAAATTGGAACTGGACTGGGATTGCAAATTCGGGGTTTATTGGATCTTTTGTGGATTCTTTTTTTCTTCCACAGAATAGAGAAGAAAAAAAATTGATTGGTGCTTGACCCAGTGAAAAAGCTGGTGGTCGGTTTTAACTAGGAATTGAGAGGCAAAGGTGGTCTTTCCCATTAAATTGTCTTCCCTTTCTGGTCTCATTTCTCTGATTTTGGCACTCTTTGCAGGGAATTTCTACGTCAACGATTGTAATGATGCCAGCACAATGAGAATTTTTGTTGATTAGGTCTTTATTGATTATAATTGGATTGAGTTTTGCCAAATTGCTTGCAATTGATTGAGCCTTTTTAGCTGGTTTGAGGTTTTCTCTAGTGTTTGTGGTTTTTCCCGGTATCCTTTTTCTGGGCTTCTGAAATTTTCTTCAGGATTCACAAAAATGGGTTCAAGGAACGGTGTGGAAGGTAGAAGTGCTGGAGCAGCTGAGAATTTTGATGTTGGAGAGGGAGCCTTGCGTCCAAAAGTGAGGGGGGTGGGAAGCATGAGTAGCAATGATATGTTTTTCAGAGCAGATAAGATTGATTTGAAGGCCTTGGATGTCCAGCTGGAGAAGCACCTGAGCATGGTCTGGTCAAGAAATAAGGAGCTCCCAAGGACAAAGGAAGAGTGGGAAATTGATCTCTCTAAACTGGACATAAGAAACGTTATTGCTCATGGGACTTATGGTACTGTTTTTCGAGGTGTTTATGATGGGCAAGATGTTGCAGGTAACATTATTGTCATTATTCATCACATCCTAGTTGGATTTTGCATGAACCTGGAGAAAATTTAGTCCTGGTGTTAGATTTTGTACTAGTCTTGTTTATCTGTTTTCTCACTGTCTAAATTTATGATTTTGAACCTATTTATCAAAAACAAAATTATGATTTTGAACCTTCATAGCTTGTTCTTCATTTAGTTTCCAAGATTTGATTATTGTTTTGGTTATAACTCCTTTCTTCAATTAAAAAAGTCCATATAGTAGTTGGGAAAAAAGTTCTATTAATATCTATACTACATTATTTGGAGAGCCTTGTCTGGCTCATGTCAATATGAACTGGAAGGTTTCATTGACAACCTGTTCTTAGTAGAAGAAGCATCTATACAATATCTATCAAGAGAACCATCCTGGTTCTTGCCTATATATATTAGTTGTCCTCAACTCATCTGTAGCAGAGAAGGTTTTGAAATGAATTCAATAGTTAATTCGCCAATTAATTGATTAACAAAGTCTTAGATCAGTTAAATTGAGAGAAAATCAACAAAGTCTGAGTCCAAATGTTGTGGATCAGTTAGACAAATTTCCTTGTGTATGAATGTGTTCAATAAGGGCTAGTCAATGCATAGAGTAAAGAACTTTACAGAAAAGAGATATAAACTTATTGTCTAGCTCCTGGAATAGGATTTTCTTGTATAGAATCTGAGGTAGACAGCAAAAAATATTGAAAAAAAAAGCAAATTAAATCTTACATTGATTAGATGATGCAAGGAATGAGAGGCACCTTTATGTGTGTGGTGAACTGGTAAGTTATGCATGGAATATATGTATAAGATGTTGCCTTTGTATGGTTTAATTTCTCCCTAGCCAGCACTCATTTGGCCCCACAGACCCATAGTGATGATCCACTTGTTGAAAAATGCACCTTGATTCCTGGTCCTATTGTATTGTATTCTTCTTAATCATAGGCTTGAATATGATGTCTTTTATGTACAGTCTTGGGTTTGTGTATTTGTGTGTGTGTCACACACACATATTTGCATGCGTTCTGCATCCAAAATTAGTCAGCTTTCTAATGTATAAAGACTGAAAGAAAAGTTATACCTTCTTACTTAACTTTTTTATGGCTCAAGCCTAATTTTTATGCTCCTTATGAATGTGAGGAAAATTAGTCACACTTTTCTAATGTATAATTTTTTTCATGACTGTAGAATACCTAATAGTTAATGCTCCTAATGGCAACTACTCTTTGCGTATTTACCTGTTATAGAATATTGGACACTAACTCCTAGTGGAGATATCAGAGATGAATTTTGGAACTCTGAATTTACTGAACTTTCATATTTGTATTTACTCGACAATCTGTGGATTTTGTTCCATTGTTTTATACTATATAGTGTCTTCTTTCAGAAAAGGAGTCATGCATGTTGTTTTATTTCATAATCTGTCCTAGACATGGTTCAAAGTATCGATACACTCCTGTGTATCGGCAGAGGTGTGTCAGTACTTTAAGCCATGCACTTTTTATGTTTTTTCTTTTCCAAATTTCGGTTTTATACATATTTTTTGTATATATTATTCATTAAAAAAGGGTTCCCAAAAACACCTGCAAACAGGGGTATTGGACCCCTAAAGATATGATACGGTACAATACGCCCGATGCGCTCTATACATAAGAGGATCTTGGGAAAACCAATTCAGCATATATTGTCGTTCTATAGCATGGGTTTCATATTGTAGAGGCAATCCATTATGCTTGCATGCAATATTTATGGGTGTGTGTATCACCAAAAGTGGTGCTAGTACCAAGACTATGGTGCAACAGTGGAGCATTTTTCATTTCATGGTTTTCTATTATTCTCTTTTTGATTCTTTTGCCCCATAGACATGCAGAACCTCCTTGAATTATGATTTTAAGTTTTGTTTGCTTTTGTGATATGTGGTCTATTTCTTATCTTTGACCCCATAATTCTCTCTAAATTCCTATTTCTGCCAGTTATTAGAAATTCCACTCTATACTGATATGCCTCTGAAATTGCCAATCTAGGGCTGCAAACGGATTGGATCGGATTTGGTAAGGGCACATCTGATCCAATCCATTAAGAAAATCCGACTGATCCGAATCCGATAAGGATCCGTCGGATTTTCAAAAGCATGATTCGAATTCGAATTTGAATGTAATAATATTTATATTATATTTATAAATATCATATTATATTTATATTTATATTATGTAATATAAATAATATATTATATTATTTATATAATATAATAATATATTAAAATATATAATTTATAATTTATAAATAATATATAGAATATATATTTCATAATTAATGGATCGGATCGGGCCACAACGGATAGGATCAGCCAATATCCGAATTCGATCCGTTAGGTTAACAGATCGGCTTTTCTGATCCAATCCGATTTGTAGGATCAAGAGGGATATCCGAATCCACCTCTTAATGGATCGATATCGGATTCGAATCGGATCTGATCCAACTTGTTTGCAGCCCTATGCCAATCATACCTTGGGAAAATTTTCATTGTACCTCTTCTTCTTTGGAAAAGACTCTCCCACTAATAGTTCATTTGTCAATTCCCCTTCAATATCTCTTTCTTTTGCACATATAGCATCTTTAAAATTATTTACAAGAATAAAAAAGGCATGCTAATATTCTATTCTCTTCTGTATTTAACATCATCATTAAAACCTTATCCCCCATATAGTTGGGATAAGGCTTACATGATGATGATGTAACATTACATGTTTTATTTATTCCGTTTTTTTCCTAGGTAGAAGAAAATTGGTTCTAGTTGTTAGAAATTTTGTTTGGTACAAAACCAAAGATTCAAGTTTTGGTTTTGGACCACTATTCTATATGGTTTAGAACCTAAGTTTTTAGAAAAAATTGTTTTGCATTTTGACATCTTAAAACCCCTTGTGAAGTAATTTCATGTCTGGCTGGGTGCTTCATAGCTGTAATAAAAACTAAAATAAAATAAAAAAATGAAGGAATTTTACCATTTCATAAAGTCATTTGATTGTCAACAAAAAGGAATTAGAAAATTTTAAATTAACTGGACTGTTGAGGGTCCAACCTAGATTCTAAAGCATAAAGCTTGAAAAAGAAAGGATATCTGCAGGTGCTACTATGTTTTCTCTGAAAATAGTATTCTAATTTTCTATGTTTTCTAGAGGGAAAAAACTCTATATGAGAGAAACATTTATGGAAGTCCCACTAAATTTTTGAAGCCAATTGCACAACCTTTGTTTTTATCTTTTGAGAAAACGGGCACTTTATTTCACTTCAATTCACTTTTCTTAAGAAAATACAATTTGGAGTTGTTTCATGGCAATGAGAAATTCAAAATTACAAATGTAGCTGAAAGGACATTATTAGGAACTTCTTTATGACAATAGAAGGGGTTAAGTTTTTGCATAAGGAAAGCAATTTAGAATTTTAGAGTAGAATTGGTAGTTCAGAAGCAGGTGAAAGTGAGAGATGATAAAGAAAATGGTGGAGGGAGCATAAGACTGGTTATGATTGTACTTGGTTGGCTGTTTCTTATCAATTTACATTTATGTGTCAGTGGTTCCATCTGGTTTGTTATACATGACATTAAGATACTTAGTGATTGAAAAGGCACGTCTCAGGCAACGCTCATTTTAAGGTATGTGCCTCACCTTGGCCCTAGGCGCAACACTTTCAAAAGGCACACGCATGGTGCTCCTAGGCGGGCGCCTAGTGCGCCTTCCACTTCAGCCCAGGCGTGCACTTTTTTATTATTTGTGCTTTTTGTTCTTTTTTGAACTTAGCAGACGGGCTGTGGGTTCTGCCCCCCGGACACCCAGCCAAGTCCCTCGAGGCAAGCCCAAAGAAGTCCATGTTAGGGTCTTAAAAAGTCTTAATCCCTATACAAAGAAAAGGTTTTAAAATTTTAATTGCCTTTTAAGAAGATATTTTATTAGGATGAGTAAATGAACAACATTAGCAAATAGGGGGTAACATGGACTTGTTTGCACTTGCCTCGAGGGACTTGGTACAAACATGGCTCGTAGAATTAGGAATACAAGACATTTTACATCACATTAACTATTTGAAGTAATGCAATTGAGGAAATAAAAAGATTGTGGGTTTTACATGCTTAAAGATGTTTTGTATGTTTGATTTTATTTTTAAATTTTCATTTGAATTCACTTTACATGTTATGTTTATGTATTTTAATTTTAGGTAATAGGTTTTTTCAAACATTTATTTTAAAACTTAAGTTTATATTTTTTATTAATATTATGTTTAATATTTTTTATCTTTTTGCATTTTTTTTTGGCATTTTGGTAATTTTTGATTTTTTTCTTTTTGTATTTTTGCACCTTGCTTCAAAAAGGGGTGCACCTCGCCTTGCACTTTTAAAACACTGGGGATACTATAGGTTACCGATTGAGGGGAAACATTTTATTATGTGCATCTGCTCTCTGTTTTTTTTGGTAACTATGTGCATCTACTCTTACTTTTTCCTGGATTAACAATAATAGAGTTAAACATAGGAAGTTCATGGAATTATTTGTAATTTCGTCAAAAATTATAATTTGTGGCTGCAAAAGGGCTCCATACCTCGGCCATAGGGGCTTTGTTGAGGGCAAGAAGCTTATTTGGGTTGTAATCTTGTTCGGGGGGGGGGGGGTGTCTGATTCCCAAGGGGCTCCCSTTGGGTGTTCTGTTGTATTTTTATTTCTGAAATCTAATAAAATTTACATCATCTTTTCTCAAAAAAATTTATAATTTCATAAAAAATTTTCTTATATTTAGATGACTGATTGGTCACTTATGCACTCTCCTTCAGGATAAAATTATCCTCTTCCAGAGACCTGATATCCTAATTCCTAACCTTAAGCTCTTTTTTCCTAGATCTTTAAGACACTTTTATTTCATTAAAGATGGTTTCTAAAATATTATTCCCTGTGAAGTATTTTTCTTCTATCCTAAAATCTAGGGAAGTATATATTTATAAAAAAAAGTATAGTAGGAGTTCTTGACCACAAAATATTGGCCAAATCCTGTGCACAAGGCACTACAACTGCACATTGGGAACATCTCTGCACGAATGACATAAGAGATGTTCTTGATGTGCAGTTGTTGGGTGTTGTATACAGCATTTTTGTTTCATCAGACCCGGACTCGTATATTAGTAACATTACTATTGGTTATAAAGAACATAATTTTACAAGATGCAATTTTGAAATGCATACAAGAGAAAATAATTATCAATATATTTTTTTTTTCTAACAATTGAAGGGAAACTTGGTTAAATCTGATAACCTTTTTTAAAAACCTTTGGATTGAAAAATAGTTTAGTGTTTTTTAACGTGATAGGTGGGCAATGTTCAGAAATTGGTGGATTGGAGTATGCCAACTTCATATTATGAACCCCTTACTATTTTTTGATGGGCAGAGCATTTGCAAATAATTATATCTCATTCCTGTTGCTGTAATCAGGGATGTCTATCCTTATCAATTTTGGACCCCTGACTCCATGAGGTCACTATTTTTACATGGAGAGTAGGAGCTGCAAGGGTTGCAACTAGAGAAGATTATATAGGGTTCAACTCCAATCCCAATGCTAGGAGTTGTAACAGCTAATATCATAATTCTTGTTTATGTACAGATTATTGAAATTCAGAGAAATTTTGAATAGAACTTGGTCTCTTAGTTGAAACCCAATTGAAAAAGAAAAACCAAAATTTAATGCCTTGGTGTTAACTGAAATGATAGTGGGTTGCCTTATTTTAGTTGGAAGTTACTAGATAATTAGTTAGATTATTAATATTAGTATTGATGCTTAAACTTTTGTGGTTTAATTCACAACAGTAACAACTCATTCATCTAACTGCACTCTTTACATGGTATTATTTTTCATACTATAATGAAGCAGATGGTTAGGTTGAATATTTATTTTTAGAATGTGGGCATACATTTTTGGAGGAGGGTCTTTGTTTGGCATACACTAAGAGACCATGCCCAAGACCTATGCCTTTTGTTTATTTCATTTTGCTGATGTTATCATGTAGCCAGTATCTTCACTTGATATTTAATTGTTGGCTTTACTAGTCGGTTGCTTTGAAGTTGTTGGTTTACATTACCTTTCAATATTTATATACAATATACTATCTGTGTTATCCTGTTGAGAGAATGAGAGGTGGCTTTATTAAGGCATAATGCTAAAATATTATTCCATCCGCTCGTATGAACTACAAACATTTAGCACTTTGAATGGATTATTTACTGTTATTTATGAAACGAATCTAAGTCCCAATTAAAATCTCACAATACAATATTATTTTCAATATTATAGTGAAGGTATTGGATTGGGGAGAGGATGGTTTTGCCACTAGTGCAGAAACTGCTGCTCTTCGGGCATCATTTCGGCAAGAGGTTGCTGTTTGGAATAAGCTTGATCATCCCAATATTACGAAGGTAAATTTCTTTGTTCATACTTTTCAAGCACATACACCATATCCTCAAGTCCTGGATGGTTGAGCAGTTAATCATATGAAGGTGAAGCTATTGAAGGTTTGAAATGTATTTGATTTTTTTATGTATGACTTTAATTGAAGATTTGAAATAGTAATATTCCAAAAAAAGTGCAAGGTATAATTTATTTTTTGTTAATCATATTAAAACCTCTAAGGTCATCTTGTAACTTGTATGTATCTTCTTTGTTGTAGTTTGTTGGAGCTTCAATGGGAACCTCAAATCTTAGGATTCCTTCAAGTGAGGGTCAGAGTTCTTTTCCTTCTCGAGCATGTTGTGTGGTTGTGGAATATCTTCCAGGTGGGACACTAAAGCAATTTTTGATAAGAAACAGACGGAAAAAACTTGCATATAAAATTGTGATACAACTTGCTTTGGACCTTTCTAGAGGGTGAGTAACCTTTCTTATGGTTGAGTTGAAAAGTTTGTACCATGGATTTTTTGATAAATGAATAATCAGTTTTCTTCTAATTTGCAGTTTAAGTTATCTACATTCAAAGAAGATTGTGCATCGTGATGTCAAAACTGAAAATATGTTGCTAGATTCTCATAGAAATTTAAAAATTGCGGACTTTGGGGTTGCTCGTGTTGAAGCTCAAAATCCAAGGGACATGACTGGTGAAACTGGTACTCTTGGCTACATGGCCCCAGAGGTATCCTCACTTTTTTGTAGATATTTAGACATTTATGAAATAAAATTTTAGATTATTTGGGTCATCTTCAATGATAGTTGAGTTCATTTATCTAAAAATTAAAAGGATAAGTTGTTAACCTTAGAAGATGTCTAATGAATATGGCAAATAGTTTGTTGACACCACATAAACTATATTTACTACTAGAGTACTTTTTTTTTTCCGAATTTGCAACTAGAGTACTTGAACTTGGAAGAACTGTGTTCTTTCTTTGTTATTTTCTACAATTATTTTCTTTGACTTGAAAAATTACTAACAACACTCTTTGCAGGTCCTTGATGGTAAGCCTTACAATAGAAAATGTGATGTCTACAGTTTTGGCATATGTTTATGGGAAATCTACTGTTGCGACATGCCATATGCTGATCTTAGCTTTTCTGAAGTCTCATCTGCAGTTGTACGACAGGTAGTAGAAAATTGCTAGTGGCATCTGGATGTTTGTATTGCCTGTTGTTTCACATTCTGTCATTCGATATTTCTTTTTATAGATGGTTTTCAGTGTTTCAGAAGTCGAACATTTTGATGCTGGTGGATCTAACTGATATGCTTCAATTTCCTTGTTGACCAATTTGTTATGTGGACCATATAAGTGCTTTTTGTCAGCACTTATTAATTGCTATGGGTAAATTCTGGTAGTCCCAACTGTTTAAGATGACAAGTTTTCAAATTCAATCCAGTCAAGGGTGGTCTGAATTCCATCCTCTGGTTTGATTTATATATATATATATATATATACTTAAAAAACTTATATTTTATTTGTTAGTAAAATTGGTTTCAATGATGTATTTTACTAAATAGTCATAGGTTCAAGATTCATACAAGTTTTCAATTTTTTTCCCATTTTAGTTTAATTCATTAATGCTATCCATTATCCAATTGCAATCCGAATATTAATGAATCAAATTTGGATCTAGATATTACCCAATTTGGTCTGATCCATTTGCAGCCTTAAGATTATGTATTATAATTGCTTTCTACAATTCATCTATATTATTCCAAGTTTCTTATATGTATAATATCACAGGTCAAATGCACAACTTAATCTTCAAAAACAGTGTCTTATTGTTATCAACAGCCTATGCATGTCATCTATTCCTATATTTATTAGAGTGGCAAAATCTATTATCGGCTCCTAGCAATTTTTAACATAAATTTATGTTAAATTGATTTACCTTGGTCAAATTGCAGTCTTTTATGATGCGTATAAGGTTTGTTATTTTTGCAATTGCAACATGGAGATTTATGTGTTCTAAATAAAAAAAAATCAAGTTTATATAATTAGAATGTATGCCTTTGTCTAATTACAATTGTAGGTTGGTGTTACTTGAAATTATTGATGTTGATGTGAGCTTTACTTGTGATTTTTGACAGAATTTGCGACCAGAAATACCTAGATGTTGTCCTAACTCATTTGCAAATATCATGCGTAAATGCTGGGATGCAAATGCAGATAGAAGGCCTGAGATGGATGAGGTGGTGAGATTGTTGGAAGCAGTTGACACAAGCAGAGGAGGCGGCATGATACCAGAGGACCAGGTTCCCCATGGCTGTTTTTGTTTTAGCGCAGCTCGTGGTCCTTGATATTCTTCCCTTCTTTTCCATTGTGTTTATTGATGAAATGAATTCCAAAGTATGTCTATAAATGTTTTAGCAAACTTGCCCAGTCGGTTGTGAGATTATTGACTGGCAATTGGCCTTTTTGTTGTATATTGACCACAGCACAAGCAAAGAATTATTGAATGTTTTTTTTTTTTCCCGCAATATATAATCTTTCCAAAGCTTTCTAACGTTAATATCAAATGGTATATATGCTTTATAGACCATTAAATTGTTGTTTATCATATAACCTCCCATGCATCTGAATATAATATACAGGAGTGTGGATTTGCTGTTGAAGCTTGGACATTAAAAAACATGGTGTTGAAACGCCATGATTGGCCAAGTTAGCAACTCTGGGGCATTTTAAATAATCAACATTTGTAGGTGTATTGATCCAAATGCACCCAAAAATATTCATTCAATCACGGTGCTGAATTTGCTGCTGAGCATGAGGTATCAGAAATGATGCTTGATTATCATTAACATCATAACAGGATCCATGTAGCTGACCTCATATGATTGGAACAGGGGCCGGACCCTTGTCATTCATGGGGAGATGTTTCTGATGTGTGGTTTATTGTCTTGGGCGACTTGTTGGAAGTGTTTGTTGGGAGCAGATCTAGTTTTTGAGCATGTTAGGGAAATGTTATTGTGGCTGATATAATGAAGGTTGCTGAACTCATTGATCTTTGTGCAAAAACGAGTTCAAATCAGACCCCCACAATGTCTTACAGCACATCTCCCCCTTGTAGTGGGAACACCTCCCAATGATGACATCATTATTTTTTGTATTATTATTGGGAGATGTTTCCAATACATGGCGGGGATGTGCTGTCGGGTGTTGTGGGGGGTTGATTTGATCTCTGCAAAAACCTGGAATTATGAAGTAGTCCATAAAAAGATTCGATGTAGCATTATTTTGTCGAGTGAATTTGATTCAAGGTTCAAAGTATCCACATGTATCAGCTGATATGTATCATTTCGGGACCTCTCCAATACGTCCCTATAGTGGGTGTATCAGGGGTCTGATTGGTTTAGGGGGTGGAGGAACCCTAAACTGGCCCTCTGAACTGGTTTTAAAAAAAATAAAAAAGTAAAAAAGTATCAACTTGCCCGATACACCCCTACCGGCGATTGCTCAAGATAAATTTGCAGAAAACCCCTCATGGTGAGTTCACAGGCATGAGTCAGGTTACAAGGCATTGGTACAGGACAGGACCGTCCATGATACCCATGTATCAAAATTGGAGTCAATGAAAGACTGCTTCTGTGTTCTGTGGAGGCACGAAAACCATCAAGGCAACATAATACTAGTGTTCATGGCACTTATTCATTGAAGGGATGTGGAGTTGATAGGAATTAGGAAGAACTACACCTTTATATGCTCATCGCTGGAGGAAAATGAAGCTATGGCTTGGCTTTTTGTGGATGTTTAAAATTGGAAAGAGATTTGGATATCGCTGCTATTTGGGTCGTCGGTGTAAAAAACATTGTACTTGACGATGGTATGAGATGTGGGTTAGCTTGGCCCAGCCCACATATGACTAGAGGGCCCAGCCCATTAACGCCTGCTAACGTCAATCACAGTAGGTGAGAGCCCTACTGTCTTCGTATGGAGCCAATCACTTAATTATCTGGCGTACTGTCAGGGCCTGCAGCCTGATCTCGTACGGTTCTCATCCGAGGCATTTATCTCTACCTATCACCAGCACGTTCGAGTATAAATAAGAGGTAACTACCCCTGAAAAGGGGCGGGAACGGAGTAACTCCAACATTTAGTCACTCATTTACTTCCTACACATACATTATCTGCCTAACATTAATTCTGGGAGATCTAGTGCATCCGAGGACTTTCTTCAGGAGCACTCTCGCATTCTCTCCAGCTTCACACCTCATACTAACTTGAGCATCGGAGCCTCCACCTCGGGTATCCACCTCGAGGCCTCTGACACTCTATGTCTTGCAGTACCTCAGGCCACCAGGGACCTTGCATCAACCAGTAGTCCTTGGCTACCTTAGTCCTTGCCACGGTTTGCTGTCCTCGACTTTGGTCAACCTCTTTCGAGGCCTCGGGGTCCTCGGATAAAGTTCGAAACTTGAAGAGTAAATTTACCTCGTTGCCCTCGGCCAAACCACACGACAACAATTGGCACTGTTTGTGGGAAAGTGGTTGCTAAAACGACCCCCACTTTAGGATAAACAATAATAACACTCTAAGATCCAAAATCCCTGTAAGCTCAGAAGCCATGGTGAGGAGAGCTAGGAACACCCCAAACCTGGTTACCTACAAATGGAAGAAGTCTGCCCCCGAGCAGGAGGTCCCTCTCAAGGCGATTGTCCCGCTGGGGAGTCAGAGGATCAGGGTTAGCATGAGAACATCGAGATACCGGTTCTCGGCCACGGTAATCCATTGGCCGAACCATCAGAATCGGGCAATAACAACCTCCCAGACTAACATCGAAGGAATGTCTGTCCTCCGAGCCGAAGGGAGAGTGTGCCCGCTCAATCCGAAGACAATCATCAATCTTCGGAATAGCACCACCGCTGTCGTAGGGAGGTCCCCAGGATGATGGTAGGTAGTTCGACTGCCCTGGAGTTCACTCCCGAGGCGAGAGCCGACGCCATCCCACTCCACCTCCCGTCTCAGACCTCAGGGACATTCTGAATGACCGTCGCACCCGCAGAGGAGCATGCGGCCCTRCCTTGGAGTATTCGAGATTCCGAGCCAACACCCATCGGGTCCACAAAGACAAGAGTAGGGCCCATGCCCATGCCGACCCAGGGATTGCTGAGTTGCGAGCCGAGATTGGGGCCATCAAGGACGAGCTCCGCCAAGTTAAGGAGAGCCGAGCCAACGCCCCAACCAGTCACGACAGCTCTACTGATCGCATGGACACATTCACCTAGGAAATCATCTTGGAGCCTCTCCCCCCACACTTCAAGGCTCCCACACTAGAGACGTATGACAGAAGCACTGACCTCGATGACCACCTGGAGGGTTTCAGAGTGCTCATGATACTGTATGGCTATTCCGACGCCTTGACGTACCGGACCTTCTAGGCTACCTTCAGGGGAGCTGCTCGTCGTTGGTTCTCCACTCTTCCTCCTTGATCAATAAGCTCGTGGGAGCAATTTACAACCATGTTCCTTGCCTGCTTCATCAGTAGCAAGCGATGCCAGAAGAGCATAGTATCTCTGATGTCGCTCAATTAGGAGCCGAGTGAAAGCTTGCGGTCTTACATCGACCGCTTCAAGAAAGAAGAGCTCAAAGTTCGAGACCTCGACCCTATGGTCTCCATGCATGCAGCCATCAACGAACTCTGCCCTGGTTTAGCTCTCAAGTGCTCGGTTGTCAAGACCCTGCCAAAGACCAAACTCAAATTCCTCAAGAAGGCCCAGAAATACATCGCGGCTGAAGAGGCTTCGGCTAGAGACAACCAAGCAAGGGCAGCCGAGCGCCCCGACGGGCCCCCGGAGAAGAAAAGGAAAAGTGGAGACCAGCACCACCCTGGAAACAATGGCGACAAAGACAACAAGAAGCCCRCCACCTTGGCCCACAGGGACTACATGCCACTCAACTCCACCCGCACCCAGATTCTGATGCAGATAGGGGAAGAGAAGTTCGTGAAGTGGCCAATGAAGTTAAAGTGGAACCCCAAGAGGGGGAACCCTACGAAGTACTACAAGTACCACCGCAGCACCGAACATGACACCGAGGACTGCCACAAACTAAAGAAAGAAATAGAGTCCCTCATTCGTCGATGACACCTCAAGTAGTTCGTCGGAGGAGAGGCCAGCGCCTCGTCATCCCAACAACAATAGCAGCAGCACCAGCAAGTGGTAGGCGTCATCAACGTCATTGTCGGGGGTATGGCCTTAGGTGGAGCCTCGACTTTGGCTCGAAAAGCCTACGCCAAACAGCTCAACATCCAGAAGCCTGCCCCAAAGAAGTAGAAATACCTGGACTCTCCACAGAGCCCGAGAGGTTCACATGCCCTTGTCTTCACTAACGAGGATCTAAAGGGGGTTACTGTCCCCCACGATGATGCCCTCGTGGTTGCAGCCATCATCTCCAATTTTATGGTGAAGAATATTTTAGTGGATAGCGACTCATCAGCCGACATCATTTTCTATGACACCTATGAGAGAATGATGCTCACGCCAGAGAGGCTCCAGCCAGCTGACGCTCCTCTTGTCGGCTTCTCCAGTAGCGTCACCAGGCCAGAAGGAAATATTACCCTGCCATCGCGGTGGGGACAGCGCCACACCAGGTGACTTGGATGCATGAGTTCCTAGTGGTGAAGGTTGCCTCTCCCTACAACGTAATAATGGGAAGACCAACCCTTCATGCACTAGGGGCATCCATGTCCTCTTATCACCTGACTCTTAAGTTTCCCACCGAGCACGGCGTCGGTGTCGTTCGTGGGAACCAACAGATCGCCTGCCAATGCTACTTGGCGACACTAAAAGGAAAAAATATGGAGGCCTTATCATTGGAGGGCCTCGACCCCCGGGAGGAACCAATGAGCCGAGAACCTCGTCTCGGTTCCCCTGGATGAGTAATCCCCAGAGAGGACAGTTCGCGTCGGGCCAACCTCCCCCCTAAACGCCTATCTGAACTAGTGAGTTTCCTTAGAACTAATGCCAACATATTTGCTTGGTCCGCTGCTGACATGCTTGGAATTGACCCTACGGTCATTACTCACAGGCTGAGCGAGGACCAGAGCTCTAAGCCAGTTCGGAAAAAGAAGAGGAACTTTGCATCGGAATAATGGAAGGCTATAGGAGAGGAAGTTGACAAGCTACTTGACACCGACTTCAACTGTGAGGTACATTATCCTAACTGGCTGTCTAATGTGGTTTTGGTAAGGAAAGCGAATGGACAATGGTGGATTTGTATTGACTTCACAGACCTTAACCGAGCCTGCCCGAAAGATAGTTTTTCCTTTGTCGAGGATAGACCTCATCGTCGATGCCAATGCAGGGTATGAACTACTCATCTTCATGGATGCCTTATCCGGGAATAACCAGATCTAGATGCACCCCGAAGACGAGGAGAAGACATCTTTCATCACTGAGCATGACACATATTGCTACAAAGTGACGTCGTTCGGCCTCAAGAATGYAGGGGCCACTTACCAGCGCCTTGTCAACAAGATTTTCAAGAATCAGATGGGGAGGAACGTCGAAGCCT